AATTCAGCAACATCAAAAGATCAGCGACCAATCTGAAGCTTTGTCTCAGACAATCGCATAAGTTCTACCGAGCAAGATGCACTAGTTCCCCGGATGATGCGGAGGAGAGAGATTAACTACATATCCCCATATTTCGGTTGGAGAAATTTGACCACATCAGAAATTCCATGCCGTGAAAGGTGTCTTTCCAAATGCGGACACATTCGTCAGGAATTCGGAATCTGATTCAGCACTTCATCCCGAGATTGCTAGTCGCTTCATGTCGAAAATGACCGAGTCGTATTCAGACCGCCCTGATTCTGAAGAAACATTCCATCCATTTGAACACGAAGGCTTGAATTTTACTTTTTGTCCTTGTCTTGAAGCTTCGAAGACCGTTCGTAGAGTCTGATTGCTGCCTATGAGAGCAAGCTTCATCGTTGACATCACTATCGCATTCATAGTCCGTTTCCAAATGGACTTGTGCTTTAAGCGCTGGAACGAACCTACCACTTTTTGACCGAAAGCATCTACGTCACTATCCGCGCTTGACACCGGTCGCAAAAACGTTGCCTGTTTAAGTCAAAGGTGTGATTCATAAAGCCGGGGCAGCTGAACGCTTCGTGCCGTTGCGGGAATCTCCATGTCTCAGCCGTAAACCAAACGATGTCTCAAACGGATCAGATATCCCAACAAAAGGCCAAGACGGCATGCAATGATCTACAGAATCTCCTCGAATGACGATATATGAATTACTGAGAGACAACTAAGATATGTCAAAAGGGATCGACGGAAGGCTTGCGTAGTATCGGGAGCTAAAACGCTTGCAACCGTGGAATCTTTCTGTTTAATACCTCTTTCTGACTCATGTTGTTTGCTAAATCAAAGGTCTTGGAACGTGCGAAGGATGGAGTCCTTCGTCCTGGCGGCTATTTCCTCGATTTCTGCCGCCGTGCTGGTATATGCGGGAGCAAGCAGAACATGGTCCCCCAGAGTTCCATCCTTTGTACCGTTACCTGGGTAGAGGCTGATACCAAACTCATTGAGGCCGTTCATATGCACCTTATTAGCTATATCATAGGACCGCGAGAATGGCTCCTTGGTCGCTTTATCGGACACAAATTCGATCTAGATTCATCTTAGCAGTCTTCATTTCAGGGAGTGGGAGACGTCATAACCTACCCCCCAAAAGAGGCCTCTTCCTCTGATGCTGCCCACATAAGGGTGTTCGTCAAGGTGTTCATGCAGGAGTTTCTCAAGGAGAGCCCCTTGACGTCTAACGTTTTCGATCAGATTGTCCTCTCGCACGATGCGTTGCACTTCTAAAGCAGCGGCGCATCCAACAGGGTGGCCTTGATAGGTGTGTCCATGGGAGAATGCGCTGTTGAATATGTGAGTCGATGGCTCTAACGAAAACGGGGCTACCCTTACCCAGTGCCGCTTGTGAGAGCATCGGCAACTCTGTGATTCATCAACAAACCTGCGACAGGGGCATATCCACCGCCCAGGCCCTTCGCCATGGTTTGAATATCAGGCGTAACGCCTTCATGCTGCCAGGCATGCAATGTTCCGCAACGACCCATGCCAGACATAACCTCTGTATCGACGTGAGTGAAAGCAAGACCAACCAGAGAGACGGTTACTCACCGTCGAAAATCAGAAGAGCACCGTACTTATCACAGACATTCTTCATGGCCTTGAAGTACCCGGGAACCGACGGCACACAGCCAAGGGCCTTCGGCACATTAGTTAGGCTTGTAAACTTGTGCGAAGAGTATGCGATGGAAGCTTACTGCACCGACGACCGGTTCGGCGACAAAAGCGCAGACAGTCTCGGGGCCCATCTCCTGAAATTTGTGGTCCAACTCATCAGCCAGCTGTTCGACGTACTGCTCGACTGTCTGGCCCTCAGTCATGCCGCGATACGCATTACATGACGATACTCGACCAATATTAGGTAGAAGCATGTCTGTGAAGAGACTTCTACGTGCAATATGGCCGCCCATAGATAGTGAGCCAAGGGTTGTGCCATGGTATGAGTTTTCTCGGGCGATAAACTTGACTCTTTGCGGTTGGCCAATTTCAACGAAGTATTGACGCGCCATCTTCATCGCCGCATCCATTGCCTCCGACCCTATGATATAACAGTCAGAGACGCTGGAATATACTTTGATTAAAAGTGCATGCGTCTTACCGGAGCACATGATATATGCCTTTGACATGAGACCATCAGTTCCTCGAATCAGCTCATCTGCCAACTCTTCCCCAATGGGGTGCCCAAAGAACATCGAGTTGCAGTAGGCAAACTTGTCCAGTTGCGCAATCATCGCTTTCTTAACGCGCTCATTGTTAGATCCAATGCAAGCCACCGCAGCCCCGCAGGTCGTGTCCAGAATGGTCTGGCCATTGGAGAAGGTTAGGTACTTTCCGTTCGCTGAGACTACTTGTGGCGGCGCGGCTTTCAAGCTGCGATGGAGAACAGCACTCTTGTTTGAGGGCGTCATCTTCGCGATCGCTGGCTGGAGCTCTGCATCGGTTGCTGCTGTCGCATTGACCGCAGCCCCCGCAGATGAAGTGGTCGACATCCTTGCCACTTGAGCTCGATAGAGTCTCCTGGCCAAGGGCGATGCTTTGCCTCGCAATGACATCGTGAATATGCTTCCGGAGTTCTTGTGATGTGAGATTGAGAATGTTCTGAATGGTCAAGACGTCACGTTCGTGATGTTGCTGGAAGAGTGTAGGATCTGAGGCCGCAAAGGTCTGAAATCTAGAGTCCGAGGCCCTTATCACGGTCAAACCTACAACGATGCCAGCCGCTTCTTATCGGGTTAATTTACCTCTCAGCGGTTCTCATTGCTACTTGCTGATCACTGACCTCCGATTCGATAAGCACGTCGGTGGCTTATCTGCATGGCGTATCTGGCGTGTCCCACTGCGGAGTTGATGGGCGGGGTCGTCAGTCTTCTTCCACGTGGGCGAGCATCCGTTCTTCGGCGTGGCAGCGCATCAGAACTTTGCTGCTGATATTCCAAATTACTTAAGGTCTCTTTTCTTCTTCATATGAATACTTCAATCGTGAGGTTTGTCTCGTTCAAATGTCGTGTAATTTTTGCAAGCGCAATTGGGCCCCCAAAAGGATATCTACTGTATTTTACGTTAGTTAGAGCAACTAACTTCATTTTCTATGTGTTTGCTATTGTCATCCCCGCCATGGCTAGCATTGCTGTTATCATCTGCTATCATAGTCTCCAGTTTCTGTTACTATTATATAATCATCATTTTTAGGAAGAGTTTTACTAGTCGGACAGTGTCCCCTACGATTCGTGATTATAGAAAGAGCGATAGAAGTAGTAATAAGGATAATGATAACGACGACGATGACGAGGATAATAATAATAATATGTAATAATAACGAAGAAAACGAGAACAGGAAATATAGTCGCTTTAGAGATAGGCTGCGGATTACTCACGTGTGTGTGGATACTGCTCGGATAGCCAAATAGCACTGCCCGACTAGTAAAACTCGCTAGGAAAATGGAGTTGAAACGTACTCTCGCGAACTAGAACAGAACACCAACTACTTTGCGTGAATTATGGAAATGCTGAAAGTATCTTGAAAATCACCAGTATCCCTTCACAAATCCTTTGCTTTCTCCACGTTTCTCACGCTCGCACTGACTGGTTGATTGTTGGCTGCAACATTCTCAGCTAGCTGCGACGCGGGACGGAACGACTAAATGCGGCCTGATATGCCATCCCGGAAGTAGATGGGTAATGTTGGGTGAAGGACTGGAGAACAGCGACCATAATCAATGAGTTCGAGAGAAGGAACCCAGGCGTTGGGCAGGCTGCACCCCAGAGTATCGACGTTCTTCTGAGGCATCATCCCGGACCCAGCGCAAAGGATCCAGATCCCAACGGTGCATGTAGTTGGTGCCAACGACGGACACGCCCAACAGGGGCTAATTCTAGCACCTCTTTGCGACTCGCGTGTCTTCCAGACCATCGTGTACGAGGGTCGTCATGAATGTCTTAGAAAAGATGAGACGCTTCAACGGGTCGCTGATTGCATGCAAACGGCAGTCGCCCGGAGCATTTACCTCCAGTTGGCAGTGATTCGTTTCACTTGGGAATTGGTCGAAACCGAAGCGGGTAATTCATGCTTTTATTATCTCTTCTAGCCGTCGTGAGGTTAATCTCTTTTGCGCTACCAATAAACTTCCACAAATTCATGTCCGCATATATTTCTTGAGGCGTGTGAACCCCACACTACCAGTTCTCTTACATATTAGTTCTTAATTCGCAAATCACTAGGTTCTGTTCATTTGAGGTAAAAACCAACAATGAGATTAGTACACCAGGCATGTTTTCTCTAATAGACCAGCACTGCTTTCTATGATCTGAGCGATGCTGCTGTGCCCTTCAACAGCAGCCTTTGCCCTTCACTAGGCTTGGAAGTGCTGCCACTTCTCCCTAGTTTGACGTGCCTGTTTCGTGGGGTAATGCATGGCGACAAATAGGATCAATAGGAAGCAGGGGACTTGTTTTCGTAATTCGCGAAGAACTGGGTGTGCGTAACCGGAATGGGCTCATGTTGAATAACTTTTGATTGCTTGCTTGCGGCACAGTCAGGAGATCTTCCCGTTGGCCTCACTACGAAAACACGTCGACGCGAAGCTGGGGCTGTAATCCTACCCCCAAGGCCAGAAGAGCCACGTCGATCCTTTCTTAGTCTGCTGTCATTGATGCAGTGTTGGTGCAGGATTTCGGCTCGCCAACTTCTAGGCGATACGAAAGGTTTTATCCGAAAATGTTCAGCCAGCAGCCCTATCACACAATGTGGCTCGCATCTCTCATCGATAAGTACAGGGCCACATCACCCCTTTCTCCCTTGTACGCTTTTATCATTACTCTGCTATTCCCGAGTGAACTACGTTGGGGCCCTCAGCCCAAAGCGCGTTCAAAATTCCATCATTAGCCTGGACTTACAATCAAAATCAAGAACACGCCCGAACCTCCAAATGGCACAATTCACAGACCCGAGGACTTCACTTGTCACACCGCATGAACCTCTAGGGAACCTTACGGCTCCTCAAACCTCAACTGATCAGCAAGTCATCGAGAACGGTCATGCTGACCCAGCAACACCTTGGAAGACTCAAGGCTGGCGCTTTTGGGCCGTCTTTCCGGGACTCTGTCTGGCTATGCTGCTGACAGGCTTGGATGCATCCATCCTCGCCACGTCGTTACCAACCATTGTCTCTGACCTCCACGGCGGCGCACTCTATATCTGGACCATGAACGGATACTTCCTCACTACTGCCGTTGTCCAACCATTGATGGGGCAAGCTGCCGAAATCTTTGACAGGAGAATTCCCATGCTCGTGGCTTTATCATTGTTCACTCTCGGGAGTGGACTTTGCGGCGGATCGACTTCTTTACCTATGCTTATTGCCGCGCGCCCCATTCAGGGCTTAGGGGGAGGAGGCCTGTTTGTCATGACGGACACCATCATCGCCGACCTTACCCCTTTGCGCGATCGCATGAAATATGTGTCCATGGTCATGATATTCTTGTATTCATGTTCCCGTCTTCTTGTCTATGTTAGGACTATTACTGATTTGTTCATAGCACCCTAGGCTCCTTTCTGGGTCCCATCATCGTCGGTGCTACGAAATATTGAATACAGCAATCAATAAAGCACCCAATCGAGGTACTCCTCGTGAATTTTGGGCTCATTTACCGCAAAATCTGCATTTTTGTGACAACTGGCGTATGTCGGGTGGTTTCGCGTTGGCAGGGTGATTTTCGGGGCTGGTGGGGTTTACCGTTTTTAATGTACCCTGACTATATCGTCGACAACACGACTTGGCGTTGGGTCTTCTATATAAACTTGCCCGTTTGCGCGGCCGCCCTCCCCCTTGTCTTCCTCTTCTTACGCGTCAATCACAAACGAGAGGGCACAATTGCCCAACGACTTGGACGGGTGGACTACTCTGGCAACTTCATTCTCGTATGCGCCGTCGTCTCAATTCTCATCCCGTTGACATGGGGAGGCACTACCTACAGCTGGAAATCATGGCATATCTTGTTGCCACTTCTGGTTGGGTTTTCTGGGCTTGCATTATTTGGTGTACACCAGTGAAAGTTCGCCCGTGAGCCTACCATGCCTCTTCGGGTCTACAGCAACATGTCTTGTGCTTTGGGCTACGGCATCACATTCTTGCACGGCATCGTCCTCAGCTGGCTCAGTTTTTTTCTTCCAGTATACTTTCAAATTCTCCTCGAGTCCACCCCTCTGCAGTCTGGGGTCAAACTCCTCGCCGTTGTCATCCCTCTTGCCCCGGCTGGAATGGCCGGCGGCATCGCTATAGCTGTAACCGGACATTACAAGATGGTCATAGTTGCCGGCTTTGTCCTCTTGTCGATAGCGGTCGGCTGCATGACCACACTGGATGCCAACTCCTCCACCGCCGTTTGGATTGTATTCCAAGTTCTCGCCGGATTGGGCGGCGGCCTCTCCCTGACCACTACCCTGCCGGCTGTCCAGGCGCCGGTGCCCGAATCAGATGTGGCCATCGCCACCGCCGCATGGGCTTTCGCGCGGTCTTTTGGAGCTATATGGGGTGCCGCCATCCCTTCAGCCGTCTTCAATTCCCGTTTCGACGAGCTTCTCCATCTCATCCCTGAGGCGTCGGTACGTGATCTACTCGCCCACGATGGCACATACGAGCATGCCATCTGTGTTTTCATTAAGCAGTTTGACTCTCAGCCAGTGCTCAAGGAAGAGATCATCCATGTGTATACTGAGGCACTCAAGAGAGTTTGGACTGTGTTGATTCCGTTTGCTGTTGTCCCCATTGGTCTGGCTCTCTTCATGAAGGAGGTTGAGTTGAGACAGGAGCTCAAAACTGACTTCGGACTTAAAGAAACACCGCAAGCCCAAGGTTGAATTATGTCTTTCGTAGGAAAAGCTTGTACTTGATTAACTGCCTGAGGCCCCTTCCAGATTTGGCGACCAAAGCTTACACTCTCTGTACTAAACCCCAACCTCTTCCTCTCTAGAATAATACCAGAAAGACTCATGCTTTGTCTAGCGTGAGCACGCAGTGGCAACAATCAAAGCAATCTTTAAATCGTACCTTAGGTATCGGTTCATAATACGCTGGTAACCGCTTTAGCCAGGAATTGGGTCATTGATTAAATAACCGACTTCGACCACGTCCCCGGCAGACATGTCAACCAAGCCAAGGTGAAGTACATGCAATGGGTGTTGTGACTAATCGGCTGTTGCGTGACAATAGTCTACGTCAAAAGCAGAGGCTCTTCAGATGCGTCCACGATCTGCGTCCAATCGACCCGAATTCCGTCTTCAGATTTGCGTTTCTGCCAGAGATCTTCGAGCATGTCCAGAGACAACGCGATGTTCTGGAATCGTCGCTTCTTCAAAGTCATCTGCAGTCGACTGCGGACTGCCTCAATGTGATCCTCCTCAGTTGCCTCGCCGCCCGCAAGGAACAGCGGAAAGAGGATGGCCGATTCGGCATGGCTGCCGACTGGGATGTCGGAGACGTGCCTTAGAATATTTGAGATCTGTGTGCGAAGTTTTGTTGGCAGAATATCCCAGCCACTGACCGCCTTTAGCCAATCGTCTTCTGCAGATGAGGCTTCGTCTTCCATACGAGTGCGCACGAGGCGGTAAAGAAAGATCAAAACCGCGCTTCGAAAGGCGTTGGCCAGCGCTACTAACTCTGGCGCAGCATCAGGGCGGCAGCGCCAGTCTTGCAGCTCTTGTTCAACCTCGGCGCAGGTGCTGTGAAACTGAATCATCCTTCTCGCTGTCTCTTCAGCAGGTAAGTCCAGGTCCAATTTGGTTTCTTCATCGAGAAAACAGAGAGTTGAGACGTAGCGCAAAAGCTCTGTTGCCACGCCCAGGTACGTATCAACGACGTCGGTGATGCCGTCCAGGTAGCTGCAGTCCAGAAGAGGACGCCTCCGGAGTGTGACACTACCAACAATATCGTGATACGCGAAGTTGCGAAGGATCCACTGGCCCTCTGAACTCTTTTTGAAAACATCTGGTCCATGCAGTGTGATTCCTGAGCTGGTGTTCACACTGGCAGACTCGATGATGTGCTTTGCTCCATTGAGGTGGGTGTACCATCCGCGGTTGCTCCCCGCGCAAACCTCGCCAATCACGAAGGCTAAGCAAGTTGCTGCTTTGGTCTCATACCAAGTAATGTCATTCTGTGGTGTGCTCAGAGCCGTGGCGAGATTGGTCATGGCCGTTGAGTGAGCCTCAATTGCCGAAAGCTTGTACGATTGGTCACTCAAAGCTAGGTGCCCTGAGGCAAATGAGACAAGTGCGTCGTACAGGACAGACGACTCCATAGCCATGGGCAAGAACGCTGTAGCAGTCATGATTGTCAGGCCCTGTGTGCTGCGATGTATGATTAACTTGTGACTCACCTGATAGAAACGAGTTGAACTGCTCATTGACTGTCAGGTAATGACTGAGAATTTCGATATAATATCGCATGACCTGCCTCTTTTGTGGTGGGTCGCATGGCTCGATAATTGATACTGGCGGACAGAGTGGGAAACATCGCGAGCGCTGTGGTGAGTTGTCATCGGTGTCTGGGACCCCACGGGACGGTTTGGTTGACTGCTGTTTGCGATCAACCCAGCTAGTAGGCACGACATCGCGAGTCGTGCTTCGAACGCACTTCAGATTCAAACGCGCACATGCGCCACAGACTGGAAACGTGTTTTCGGTACACTTTTTGCGCCTACGTCCTCCGAGATTGTGAGAAACACGCACTGATGAAGGAGATGCCGAAAAGATGAGGGTGCTCGGTGAACTCACCGATATCGGCAGGTCAAACAGCCAGTCTTGTCGTGCTTAGACCCTTTCCTCCGGCGCGGATCAGTTTGAGAAACAGAGGCCATATTCGTCTTCGCTTAATTGAGCAAAAGGAAGGTTACAGCGAGTGGTGAAAGAAGATATGCGGCGGCGTGTTGGGCGTAACAGGCGTGACGTAGGGATCTTTGGTGTTGAGAGGGAAAAAGAGGACCCCGATGGAAACCCAAGCACAGTGAGTGGATTAGAGACAGGAATAAGCGGAACTTTTCAGTCAGACTTTATTGGGACACTTTCCTAATTAAGTTTAGTAATTTGTTATCGGTCAATGTGTTCTTCCCCGCGTTGGCGTTGACAAGGACCGTCATCGGCACTGACTCCGCACGCCTTTCTTGTCATTTTAACTGCTCTTATCTAATTCGCTCGTTCAATTGACGCGATTTAGTGGGGAAGGCGTATCTTATCTCGCAGTATCTTGCATCTCCAGCCAGATTGCGCGTTCAAAGTGGGCACGCATGCATTGAGAAGACCATCTCGATGCTCGAACCGACTCAATTTAATTAGAAATACGGAGAAACGCAAAGTCAACTCAAGACGCCAGTTGAACTCAGGCCATTGGGTATTTTGTGACTCAAAAGACATCGACAACCGCTGATGCTAAGGTATCTTCATCTTTGACAAACTTGGACTCTTCCAACCCTCAGCACCCCCACCATTGAGGCAATCGCGACAACCAGCTCACACGCGTCTGCTGTTGTCTTCGACCATGGCAACATGCGAAACATCCTTCTTCTCCTCTTGCATCTTCTCATGGAGCCTCTCTTGCACGTCGTGGCGAACCTTCTCCTCCTCAGTGGGATAGGCGCGCTTGAACATGCTCCAGAGAGAATGCTGGAACAAATCATCCATGGACTCAATACTGCGGCCCTTCATCTCCGGCAAGCAGAAGAACACAAACACCGCACCGATGTAGGTCATAACAGCAAAGAAAAGGAAGGTGCCGTAACCCATTGTCCGCAGCATGTGGGGCGTAGCAGAGGTAATGCCGTAGTTTACGATCCAGTTCGTGAAGAGACAGCAAGACATGCAGAACGATCGGATACGAGCAGGGAAGATTTCAGCACTAGGCACAGTGTTAGAAAGATTGTCATGTCTTGAACACCTTGCGCAGGGACACTTACGCAGTCAAATAGGGCGCGACGGAGTGTCCAAATGACCAGCCGAAAGCATAAAGGTAGATCCTTTGATGTTTGTTAGCCCATACTCGGGTATCATCGAGGGGAAAAAGGCATGCTTACATGATAATACCGACAATTCCGCCAGGGGTTGTGCCACTTCCTGCCTTCACATCAGAAAAGCGGATGAAAAGCCCAATGTAGAGCATAGCCGTGGCCTGGATGGTGGCACCGATGATGAGGGGAAGACGTCGGCCTACGCGATCAACAATGACGGTGACGTAGACGATAGTAGTGGCCAACTTGACAACTCCATATACACCAGTGGTGAGCAGAGAACTGGAGCCCTTGGGGACGCCAATCATGGCGAAGATCTGAGGAGCGAAATAGTTGAGCGAGTCGGTACCGGTCAGTTTGTGGAAGAGGAACAGCATAATGGCGAGGAAGAGCCGGCGACGGTTGCTAGCGTTCGTTCCGATATCCTTCATGACAACGAGATAGTTGGTTCCTAGGCTAGTGAGCAAATTGAAGGCATTGACTCCTCGTGGCACCTTGGCACTTACCCTTGGCGGTCACTTGCTCTGCTTCGACCTGAGCAGTGATCTCCATGTACTCTTGTCTAACATAGGGGTGCTCTGCAGGCAGGCCTCGAAGCTTGCAGAGATTCTTCAGGCCCCTCTCATCTTTGCCTTTTGCGATAAGTGCTCGGGGTGTTTCGACAACGACTGCGCGTTGAGAGGTTAGCTAATGTCGCAACTCGAAGTCATCGGTTGGATTAATACTTACACCAGATCAAGACGAAGAGGAAGAATCCGGGAATGAGCTGAATACCGAGGGCCAATTGCCAAGCCTTATTGTTATTGGGGTCTTGATTAGGCCAAAGGCTGACGGCATAGTTGACCCAGAATGCAATTGCAAGAGCGAGGATAATCATCAAGTTGTAGGAAGTGGTAAGAGAGCCTCGAATCGACTTGGGAGAGTTTTCTGCCAGGTATTGAGGGGCCAACTGGAATAAAGAGTCAGCCCACCACCAGGAGTCAATCTCAGTCTCCAGTGATTCTCACCATCGAAGTTGCACCGATGGCTACACCAGCCAACAAGCGGCCAGCATAGAGGACGTCTAGGTTGGGCACCTCTTGCATCGAGCAACCAATCAAGAAAAGGCCGGCCATCGAAGTCACAGCCTTCTTACGACCGAGGTAGTCGGAGAGAGGAGCTGCCAGCAGGGCTCCTGCAGTACCTCCAGCAGCAACTGTCTGATGTTAGGCTTGCATTATCACACGTCGCATTTGTAAATCCTGTATACTTACGCATCGCTGCGATATTGCCCTCTGCTCTCAGTGTTAGATACTGTAAGCCATCAAAAGATTTACTCTTGCAGCTTACCTCGCTTGTCGGCTTCCTCTGTACTGATGGTATCAAAACCGAACGCCTTCCGGAAGGAAGGAAACGTCATGATACCACCAATGTTACCCTGGTCGAAGCCATAGGAGCAACCGGCAAAGGCAATCGTGATGCCCAAAAGGAGTAGTTTCGAGTTGAAAATCTCCCGAGGGTCTTTTTTCCACTCGGGAGAGGCGAATAGTGAGCCTCCGCCGCCCATGTTTGCAATCGATTCTATTAAATCTTTGGGAGGTTGTTGTCGGAGAGGTTAGACGTTGCTTGCGACGGAAAGTCTATCGAACGGTTTCCGGTGTCGTAGAATGAGTTAAAGACAGACTTCGACTGTATCATATATCCGTACTGCCTGAGTCAATGGTTTGCAACTGCAACGCAACTACCACCCCACGGGGAGAGGGGGCCCCCAGGAGACCAAGAGCCGAACTACCCCGCGTAATCCACAGCGTTTCCTCGAGCCACAACTGCATGGGGAACCATGGGGATCAGCCAATGCAACAGAGTCGGCGAGAAGACCGGTGTCACCAGAACGATCGTCCAGTTGAAAGGCCGCGAATTGCGATGGTTTGATGATCTGGCCAAGTGACCTGCCAACAGTCCCACCGTCCCCAGATTCGATATCAGGGGGTTACCGCAACCCCAGGTTTCTTGGGGGCTAGGCAGAATTAGGAAACTCGGCGACTTGTCCTAGACTTCAACTTTCGCCCGTGTGCATACGGCAGCTAAAAGTCGTGGCGCTCCCGGGACTTGAAATAGCGGGGCCGGAGTTTCGGCCGGTGGGATCCTGAGTCGCGAGGATTGATGGAAGCGGGGAACGCCTGACGCGGGGCAGGACAGTCACAACAACTTGGCGAACAACATCTTGGGGAAATACATAGAAGCGACCGCGTTCGGCCAGGGTGCACTGTTGTTGCCGCTGATACAGCAAAGAGATCAACAGCAAACGGCATCTATTCCAAGCCAACATTGAAGCCGTATCAACCAAGCCTTGGCCCACGTTCCTGCAGGCTGGTTTCTATCTGGCGCTCTGCCTTCAAACATGTCGTCTTCAACCTTGCATACGGCCGCTATCCCTGCGGCAACGGTCCAGGTGCACGCCTCCAACCTTCTCCAACTACCCGACAAGGCTTTGCTATGCACCTGGTTCGGCGGCTCTCAGGAGGGTCTGCCGGACATTAGCATCTGGCTGTCTCGCCAGGAGCCCGGCTCCGACACCTGGTCGAGCCCACAGAAGATATCCTCAGACACCAATCGTAGTTGCCAGAACCCCGTTCTCTTCAGAGCACCAAAGACAGGCGCCATCTGGTTGTTCCACACCTCGCAGGATGCAGGTAACCAAGATGGCTGCTACATCATGTCTCGAACATCGAGCGATAATGGCGTTACATGGTCTGAGGCACGACGACCCCTCAAAGGTGTCACTGGTGCATTTGTTCGCCAACCACTAGTAGTCCTGCCTGATGGGACTTGGGTTCTGCCTGTATTCCACTGTCGGTCAACACCGGGACAAAGATGGATCGGCAACAACGATAATGCAGCCGTTTTCTACTCTCGAGATGACGGGGAGACATGGACTGAAAGTGTTGTCCCTGACAGCGTTGGCGCTGTACACATGAACCCCATTATCCCGAGCAAGCAAGGCTCAGACTATGTCGCCTTTTACCGCAGCCGTTGGGCAGACAACGTCTATCGATCTACCTCGTCCGATGGTCTCAACTGGACGGCCCCAAAGCCAACTCCTCTGCCAAACCCCAACAGTGGAATCTGCGCCGCTCGTCTGCCATCAGGAAACCTAGCCATTGTGTTCAACCGTTCTGCTGCAGAAGAAGGGATGGCAAAGAGAGAAGGCTTGTACGACGACATCACCCCTGAAGACGACAAGCGCCCCAATCAAGCGGCGGTCAACGGGAAGACAGCGATCTGGGGAACTCCTCGCAAGACCTTGACTGTTGGAATCTCAAGTGATGAGGGTCTGACGTGGAAGGAGAGTGTTCTTGAGGAAGGCGACGGCTTTTGCATGACTAACAACTCCATAGAGAAGACTAATCGGGAGCTCAGCTACCCCAGCATCTTTGTGGATGCAGAGGAGTCTGTGGTTCATGTGGCCTTCACGTTCCATCGCCAGCATATCAAGTATGTTAGGATTAAAGACGTAGAGAAATGGGTCCAGGAAGCATAGATCAATCAAGTTTAATACCCCTTGAGACGCAATTCTTTAGAAATTGAACATCGTTCAGAGCAGACTTTCCAGTCATCTTTACTTGTAGCCAGACGGTGTCATACGTTTATTTCAGCCTATGTTAAAAGCGGAAAGACCTACACGCCTAGAAAAGCTAGATGTTTCTGCAGAACCTTCCTATACCGTTGTCCGTCTGCCTCTCCTACGCCACCATGACTTCTTTTCCTGTGGGCCCGTTGTGTATTCTACATCATCTTTGCCGTCGTCTTCGGTATTTCTCCAGTCCTGTCGTTGTCTACTATATCTAAATAAAGCATGCAGTTTGTTCCGGTGTAAGAATTCTTTTGTGAAATTTTGTATGACTAAAGGGAACATGAGGACCTTTTTTTCCTCCACCCCAACCCAGGCTAGTCTTCTTGACCACCACATCGTGACTTAGATGAGGGCAATCATGGCGATCAGCTCTTGGAGCCATTCGCTATGCTTCTTGTCGAGAGGTTACGCTCCCTCCAGATGTTTCCCCGTCAGAGTCATACGGCAGTCAACAAGGTGCGCCTCCAGGCGGCAAACTGCGAAGAAAAAAGTTAGAAGAGAAGAAAGTTTGTTCCGGTGTACATAATATCTTGAACGTTTCATATCAACTGAATGATTATTTCGGTGTCTATATCTGCGCTTATTTGCTCCATGACCTTTGCTTCTCGGTCGTTTCCAGAACGCCTAATGTCTCCAAAGCCCACGTCTTTGTAGCATCGCTAAGAGGCAAATACGGCCTCCTCATCTCCCACGAAGACTCGTCATCAATACCAATATCGCGTCCAAGGAAGTGCCAAGCACCATATTTGGTCAAGGCAATGCCCTTCTTGCAAGCCCATTCTGCGTTTGCAACATCAGACTGTAGCTTTTGGACCTCCTCAATCTTTCCGGCCGCCCACAGGTCATACACAGCAGACGTCGAGCCTGGGAAGATGTTACCCATGCCAGTAACACAACCACTGCCTCCAGATTGCAAAGTTGGAAGGAGGTAATCACTGCTACCACCAAAGACACCAAATTGCTCATGGGCAAACTTGCTCGTCAACCTCACAACCTTGCCGACATTTCCGCATGTCAGCTTGACTGCCACAATATTAGGGTGCGACGCGAGAGCGGTCAGTTGGTCCGAGTCGAGATCCACACCCGACGTTACACCAGGGAAGTTGTAGATGACGATCGGGATGGGAGAGTTGTCAGCGACGTCGCGGTAGTATCCGAGAATCGCGTCGCTGGAGAGTGCCTTTGCCCAGTAACTCGGCGGCAGCAGCAGACCGAAGTTAGCGCCGGCGCTCGCGGCATCCCTGGCGTTCAAGATGGACTCGCGTGTTGACTGCGCTGAAATGCCGGCAACGATGGGGTAGTCTGGCTTTCCAAGGTCTTTTACTGCACGAGCGGCAGTCTCGACGATGGCTTTGCGCTCATCGGCTGTGAGAAGAACGAGCTCGCCGTTGGTGCCGAGGTAGACGAGGCCATGCATGCCTGCGCGCACCAGAGCCTGGCACTGCTTGTACATGGCATCATGGTCGACAGGCTGCAGAGGGTCGCCGGCTTTGTAGATCGTGACGACAGGGGTATAAACGCCCCGGGGAAGGGGCTTTGATTTGGAGGCGATGTTACTTGAAGGCATGATGGAAGTGTGGAATTACTAAGACAATACAGGTAGAGGCTTGATCTTGGCTGAGAACGACACTCCGCGGTGTCAAAAATCGTCTCGTTTAAAGGCGAATTTTGGAATTGGTTTGCAGGTTGAGCCTGGAAAACAACCCCTCATAATAGTGAGACTCCAACTGCGATGCTGCGGTGACAGATGCGGAGAAGCACTCGGCCAAGCAAAACGACGGACTGTTGCCGGATTGTCGACCGATTTCGCAATCAGGTTGGCAGTCAAACTACGAACTCAGGACATCTTTCGGCCAGTGACATTGTGCCTAATTGCTGATACGTAAGAAACAGAACATTTCGTTACGTGGGAAGGAATCACGCACATCCGGGGCTGGTCCGGGACACTTGTGTAACGGCCCACATCGGCGAGAAAGCCGAACCATGGGGAAAGGGCGGTGCGGAGTCGACAGGGATGCACTGCGGCGCTCGGCCATGACGGGGATGTCGCGATTTGTGAGGCAATCCGAACTGGCGGTTTTGCGAAAGCGCGGTGTGGAGTTGATGGGGCTTGGCAGGCGGTGGCGACTTGTCAAAATTGCTTTTCCATCATTCCGACAAGCAATATGTTTGCTCTGTCTCGACTTCGAGTGAAGTAGACGTGCGAGCTGAGGGGACTGGAGGAACATCATTTGACCACTGTTTTGTGATATCCGATCACCACCTTGAGACACCCGGTCCCCCCCAAACAGGAAACACGATGGCGACGAAGGCACAGGAGAGCAACGTGATCAGCCTCACTGATCTCAGCAAACACAACTCCAAGACGGACTGCTGGATAGCTGTTCATTCCAAGGTTTGGGACATCACTGATTTCATCAGCGAGCATCCTGGAGGTCCTTCAGGTAAGCTTTCTGCCTTATCAGTCCGAGTCATTCGTCTCACCGCTATGATGCTTTCCAGTCCTTCTCAAATGCGCTGGCTCGAATGCCACAAAGATCTTCGACAGCGTTCATGCACCCGACATTCTCGAAGAGCTTCCAGAAGAGAAGTTCATTGGCGTTTTGAAGGATGCCACTCCAGACGTTCCGGCTGCAGCATCACAGCCAGAAGGCCAGAATGGAGTAGCTACAGCTCCAGCGGAGTTTGCGCAAACGCCTGGCTCGGCGCAAGAAGAGGACGTTGTCCCACCTCTGGAGACGATCCTCAGCGCCCCGGACCTCACAGCTGTTGCGTCTAAGGCCCTGACGCCAAAGACATGGGCCTTCTACTCTTCTGCCGCAACGGACCTGATAACACATACAAAGAACAAGGAGCTCACGAGGAGAATCATGATCAGGCCGAGGATTCTGAGAAACGTCTCCCATGTCGACTTCAAAACCAACATTCTTGGCTTCGAAAGCTCGGCTCCATTCTTTATCTCGCCAGCAGCCATGGCCAAGCTAGTGCATCCAGATGGTGAGCTCGCTCTGAGTCGTGGTGCAGCAAACGAGGGCATCATCCAGATCGTAAGTAGCAATTTTCTTTGCACATAATGCATGGTTACTAACCCGGATTCTAGATCTCAAGTAACGCCTCGTACACTCTAAAGTCAATCGTTAACGCGGCTCCACCGAACCAACCATTCTTCTTCCAGCTTTACATCAATGCAGAACGCCACAAGACAATTGAGATTCTAAGGTCTGCCAAAGCACTCGGGATCAAGGCCATCTTTGTAACAGTCGACGCACCTGTACCTGGAAAGAGAGAAGCCGACGAGCGTGCTGCTCAGGCAGGAACAATCCGGTCAGCAATCAGCAATGCTGAAAGCAGCAAGGATAAGAAGGGCAGTGGATTGGGACGTCTCATGGCTCAGTACATCGACAAGTCGATCACATGGGAGGACCTGACTTGGATCCGGGAGGCGAGTGGAGTGCCGATCGTTCTCAAGGGTGTGCAAACTGCAGATGATGTCCGCTTGGCGGTCGAGTACGGGGTCGATGGTGTTCTTCTGAGCAATCACGGAGGTCGTTCACTCGATGGGTAAGTTTCATTCGCCCCTTGCTTGTTGCGAGTGGTTTGAGAGGCAGCTTGCGCTAACAAACTTTCATGCACAGAGCGCAAGCATCGATCCTCGTCCTTCTCGAGCTCAGAGAGCAGTGCCCCGAGGTCTTCGATAAACTCGAAGTATATATCGACGGAGGGTTCGAGCGTGGCTCAGACATCCTGAAAGCAATCGCATTGGGAGCAACTGCTGTTGGCGTTGGCCGGCCGTTCCTGTACTCCCTGGTTTATGGCCAAGAGGGAGTCGAACACCTGGCGCAGAGTAAGTTGAATGTTTTCCATACAAGCCAGGGTTATTTCCAAGCTGACTCAAATGTTACATCCAGTCCTGAAAGACGAGATCGAGACGTCAATGCGACTTTGTGGTATCACGAGCTTAAGCCAAGCATCGCCAGCAATGGTGAACACTCTGGATGTGGATTACATGGTCATGTCAGAGGCGCAATCGCGACAAAAGAGGCCTCTCAGGAAGCCGCGATCGAAGTTGTAAACACAGAAGACACAGAAGATTCTGTAAATAATATCTCTTATCATACCCATTCAATTGAGAATTCATATCGACAACAAACTTTCCACTGATGATCCTTGACTGCAATAGGTTGGTTTCAATAGACTCACACATAAAATAAGTCATCAGTATAATCCAGTTTATGGCTATGACTGAGACTTCCCTGACAAAACATTCTCACATCTATTGACTCCTGATACCAAGCAACACATACAATTCGCTTTGTCATCTCACATCCATTAAATCATGTATCTACTAAGATAAGTACCTAGGTATAGATAGCTGGGTAATACCCCAGTTTAGTTCTTCAACGTCTTAGCAAAGGCTTCCACGGCTTGCAAGATGGGTCCATCTGGCTCCAGACCAAGGCTGTAAGCCCTGGTTACATCATAACGGGCCGGCCATGTGTCTACAATCGCCAGGATAGCAGGATCCTTTTTCTCCTCGATCAAAGACAAAGCATCCTTTCCGCCAACCTTCTCCACGGCATCTAGGATTTCCTGTACAGTGACAGTGATGCCGGGGAGGTTCACAACCCTGGAATCGCCAAACTTCTCCGCTGGAACATCCTTGACCTTGGTGAGGTTCTTAACCACAGTAGCGGGACTGCAGACCCAAACCTCGAGGTCGCGGCTGACAGGCAGGACGTTCTTGATGCCCTTCAGCGTCTCGCGGACAATGCCGGAGGCGAAACTCGAGGCTGCCGCCGAAGGAGCACCAGGCCTGACTGTGACGGTGGGAAGTCGAACAATGCGACCATCGATCAGACCGCGGCGAGAGAAGTCCTCCACGAGAAGCTCAATCATAAGCTTCTGAGTGCCGTACGAGGTTTTGGGCTTGGGCACGATCTCGCTTTCGCTGACGGGCTGGCGGGGGCCGTAGACGGCACAGGAGCTGGTGAAGACCACCGTGGTGCCGGGGTAGTTTTTGCGGAGGTGGTCAAGGACGGCCCGGACCGAGTCAAAGTTAACGGTGTATCCAAGCTCGAGATTGGCTTCGGCCCCCCCTGACATCAGCCCGTGCAGAAGGTAGACGGCAGCAAATTTCTTGGAGAAGAGGGAGGCCACCGCCGCGGGGTCGGTGAGGTCGGCCTTGAGCGAGATGATTCTCCCGCTCTCCCCTGCTACATCCGCTGGCACTGGGGGCTGAATCACATCGGTGATTGTGAGCTGGTGGGAGGGATTGGCCTTGATGAGAGCCGAGACTAGCTCCTGGCCAACGAAGCCAGCAGCGCCGGTAATGAGGATCTCGGTTGACATGTTGAACTGTTTATTTTGAAGATTTTGATGATGCAAACAGAAGTTTGATCTCGATTAACTGTGAAGCTTCTGTGATGGAGAACCACGATCTTCACCCCTCATTGCCCCTCCCCCTCATCAATCACTTTTAATCGTCCGATTTCGCTATGGTCCCACGGGGAACACTTGATTACGTTTACGGGGTATCTCCTCATTCCCGCTGCAACTCGCTACGAAGTAGCCGAGCGTATCCGACACCATGCGGCAACGGAAATGCGCACCAACAAGCTGCCGTGTCGTCGTTCGGACAGGTTTCCGGCGCAGGATGCCCAATTTGGATATTGGCGAGAATGCCGACACGTTTGGAGACTCGCGGCAATCCTCCGGATGGTTACTTCCCCGCAGTGCGTGGGGCTTCAGTGAAGCAGGGGTTCGGTAGACTTTGGGCGGAGGAGTTGAGGCCGAGAATAGCGAGCGCGTGTGGGATGACGTGATAGGCGATAAAACAAAACCTCTAGAGTGTTCATCTGTAATCAGACTGGAGTGATATTCTGAGTTGGGCAAGATTGATTTATCAAAGAATACCCTGATACCCGACAAAGCCTAGGTCAAAGCAAACAGATTAGCAATATGGAATACGTGAGGTGAGCTCCCAAACTCTGGAACCAAGACCTTGACCCCTCACTTGTTTTCCCCTGAATTTCCAACTGCAGTTGCTGAATGAAATATTGAATCGTGATCTGGTCGGAGCTGGGCATGGTGAACTCATTGCAGTGAAGCTAAAAGTCATCTGTGGACAGGCTCGGGAACAGTGGCCTGAAGGTCTCCAAGATCATCCTTGGATGTATGGCCTTCGGCACTTCTCAATGGGAAGGCTCACCATGGGTTCTCGATGAAGCAGAAGGTCTGGAGTTGCTCAAGGCAGCTTACGATAACGGCATCAACACTTGGGACACCGCCGACACCTACTCAAACGGTCATTCTGAGCTTGTGATCGGAAAGGCTCTGAAGAAGTTCAAGATCCCTCGACAAAAGGTGGTCATCTTGTCCAAGATCTTCAACCCAGTAATGGACGACAACTCGAGGCCCGGGAGCGTCAACGATGGTCCTCTAGTCAATCAGATGGGACTCAGCAGAAAACACGTGTTCCACGCGGTTGATAAGTGCCTGGAGCGCCTCGGCACCGACTACATCGGTACGTCATCATGCCATTCCAGGACCAAAGCGAGGCTAACTGTTGCAGATGTCCTCCAGATCCACCGCCTCGACCGCGAAACACCGCCCGAAGAGATCATGCGAGCCCTCCACGAAGTCGTCCAGTCCGGCAAAGTTCGTTACATCGGAGCGTCCTCCATGTACACATGGGAGTTCGCCCGTCTGCAGTACATCGCGAAGTCCAACGGTTGGACCGAGTTCATTTCAATGCAGCCGTTTTACAACCTGCTCTACCGCGAGGAGGAGCGCGAGATGTTGCCGTTCTGCCAAGCTAACGGCGTGGGTGTCATTCCTTGGTCTCCGATCGCACGTGGCATGCTCGCGAAGCCACTGGCAAAGGACAATGCGGACAGCACTTCGCTACGTGCACAGACGGACAAGAAGACACAGGCCTGGTTTGCTGACGCAAACTTGGATATTGTAAGCCGCGTGGAGGAGGTCGCGAAGAAGAGGGGCGTCAGCATGGCACTCGTGTCCACTGCGTGGGTGCTCCAGCAGGGCTGCTACCCAATCGTTGGGTTGAATTCCGAGAAGCGGATTAAGGAGACGGTGGAAGCGCTGAAGTTTAAGTTGACGGAAGAAGAGTGTAAATACTTGGAGTCTGAGTACAAGGCCAGGGCCATTCAGGGCATGTAGTTATCATTCAGTTGGCTGTTCTCCAAATATGCAATCTATGATACAAATTCACGCTGTCCTGGGTATCATTTTACCAAACCCCCTCAACCCTCGGTATTCATGTGTTGGGTCTTGACATCTGATACTCAACACTGGTGAAGTCTTGAGCCGGCAAGGTGGAACTTTCGGGGTTCAACGATGACAAGTCGAAGTTAAACACTGGCGACAAGCCAAAACTCATGTCATAGTCAAAGAAGAATTCTCCCTCAGAGCCGATGAATGTCCCGTCAGTGCTCGGTGGCATTAGCTGTGGGTCGATTGTACCATTGACGCCGTTGGGTGCAGGCAGTGCGTCGTGTAAGTGAGTCAATGAACCATTTTGGCTACGCTTCAACGTTGCCGCCATCCGCTCGAGACCTGGCGCCATGAGATTTGCAAGATGCCATTTACCAGCTGGCAAAGACCTGAAATGTCTCACGAGACTTGTGGTCAAGTCCCAGACGCGGTCAGGCTCTATCAGATCCCCACCATACTTCACGGCCACCTTGATGAGAAACATGCATGCGAAGGCAGTCATGCAGTGAAGATACGAAGGCATGCCTATCACGCCAGCAGCAACATCTGGGTCAGTCAAGATGAAGTTGATGGTTGAGGTCGCGACGGAAATGGCTGTTGCTGCGCAGTCGAGGAAGTGGTAGGGTATTGGGTTGTCTCCAGACAGCCCACGAAAGATGTGTGAGTAGAGATGAAGTTTTGCAAAGTGAAAATGCAACTTGGCACCTTTTCGTGGAAATCGGCCAATGTTTTCTGACTCTTCTGCAAGAAGGATTAGCCCGTGCGATTTGTCATCTGAAATATTTTCTTACCTGGTAACGTCTCAGACCAATGCTTTAACCAATGATCAAGTTCCTTGTTAAACTGCGTGATCTGATGGACATAGGATCTCGGTGTCGGTTGCCCCTTGTCCGGACCGAACAGCTCTCGTATACTGCCTATGATTCCTAGGAGTGCCACCTGACTGGCAAGGCGTTTGTCCTGCTCATTTGATACTGGGGACGCTAAGAAGCTCTCCCACTGTTGCATCGACGAGTCTTCTTGAACAATTGCTGGCCTCCCGTAAAGCGTGGCCAGGTGCTGATCGCAAACATTGAGGATATACCATAATCTTGCCCCATCAGCAGCTTCCTCACTTTTCTCTTCGATAGCGCGGGTATAACTGTTGTGCAGATTGCATTCCGCCGCTCGCCGGATGGCGTAGCCTGACAACATCCATGACACATCGCTGAGCCAGTACGAAGCAACGCACATGGCCCGAAGATAGTCTCGGTCTACACGACGGTCAAACATTGACCTTTCCGTCAGGCGACGAAACTCTGAGCTGCATACGCCATAGATCCCGTTTGCTTGTGGATCATGAAGAGCGGCGACGGTCAGAGTTGCGGCGGTGAGGATTGAACTCCTTCGTCGCAGTTCATCGAGCTGCTGATACTTGCAACCTACCCCGTACATGAAAGGGTCGAGTCGATCACGGTAGAGACGGAAAAGCCGTTCGGCATCGTCGAGACAAAGAGCACCACGGGCGATGAAGTCATCAAGGGCAGGACTTGACTGTCCCTCAATAGCATCCGGAGATCTTAGTGCTCGTAGTTTGGTGAGGGCGTAGAGTGAGTGTATCGGTACGTGAGGGAGATTCTCGTCTTCGGGAGAGATTTTAGGGGAGTTGTCGCAAGAAGGACCATGGTTATCCTGCCCTGATACCCCAAGACGATAGCCATTGCCATTGGTGGTTGATGCTGGCCGCCCATTTTGTGAAGGAGAGTCTGTTGAGTTTCGCAACTTTGTGCTCTGGAGCGCAGCAGGTTCTGATGCCCCAACCTTCTTGGCGATCTCTTTGAGTGTGGCATGGAGACTTTCGATATCTTGCAGGACAGCCTCGTTGTATCTATGTTGGATGTTAGTGAGAGAGTTTCTTCGACACCGTCGATTGGAACAGTCATTACTGTGTCTTCTCATCAATGATGCTCTGTAAGTTCTTGCCAAGAACACAACCCAGATTGCGTTCGGAGCACCGACGACAAGGTGGACCGCTCTCATCCATCAAGCATTTGATCTGCGTGTGCACAGTCAGCAGGGGGTCTTTGGAGGTTGGAGCATAACAAACCTTGTGTTTGCGGCATGCTGCACAAGCCTTGATTTTCCGGGATATTTGCGGGAAAGATCCTTCCCCATTACCAGGAGTCAATAACTAAAACCCAGAGTCAGTCTCTCACTCTCACGACAGGTCAAGGGCGGAAAGTACCGTCATGAACTCCATGCCTTCATTGGCATCAGACCAGCTGCGTTTCGACATGGCCTGTGATGGGCACTCCTCACGCAAGAAGGCGGCGAGTTTCTCGATTCAAGGGTTCCAGAGTGTAGTTGGAATTGGTCGTGAGGAGTGGAAGAGGAGAAGTTCGGCTGCAAAACACACGCGTTGAGCAGCGCCGGGCGACTGGGTGGTCGGCACTTGTGTGGAGAAGGAGACAGGGATGAGGGCCTCTCAACGTCAGGTGTTTCCCCGCGGCGGATTTGAAAGCAGTTGGAGATGATTGAAGGCGACGGAACGAACCCCGCTTCCCCGCATGACCCCCGCAAGTGGACAGCATCGTGAAGGGGCTTCATTCTTTCCGGCTTATTGCCAGATCCCTTTCCGGTATGAATAAGCGCCTGTGATTTCAGATGTTTGGTTACCTTGCGCCTTGAGGTAAACACTATTGAATAACAAAGAGTCCCGTAATACGCGTGAAGACATAGTAATGGATGTTGGTCGATTAGAACTATTATGTCAACATTCTGGTGGTGAGTTGCCAGTCTTGGCTACTATGATAGCAGCCATATGCAAGACAAATGAATATTTGCTTTGTAGACTTCTAGTGACGTCGATGAATGTGCTGATAAGTCTTCTGATTCCAGAACACCATCTGCCAAGCCTTGTCTGACTTACAATCCCATTCAACACCCCATAAAAACATCAGTCACAGTCACAGTCACAGTCATAGTCAAAGTCACGCACACATCATGGCCATCTCCATCTTGCCCGCAATCCTCAAAAGCTCTTTTCGGCCCCCGGCCGGAACTTCGTGGACCGCCGGAGGTGACGTGGTTGGACACTACCGCAGCTGGGGCTTCACCATCTACCGCACCGCTTACGGCCCGGCTACCGACGCGCAGTGGCGCACCCTCCCGGACAAGATCCGGGCCCAGGCCGTTTCCGAGATAGACGGCTACGTTGAGGCCGGCGAGGAGGACGTTGCCGCCCAGCTCAAGTCCCTCTTCGTCCTCGACGCCCGCTCCGACGCCGCCCTGCTCGCGGACAAGACCATGGACGAGGTGCGCGAGATTTACAAGCAGGCAGCGGTGGCCATTCGCAGCTCCGGCAACGACTATGACAATGATAACAGCCAGTCGCTGCCCCTCATGCACGACGGCCCCAACCAGCGCGTGTTCCTCCTTGCTGACGCCGAGGTGCTAGAGGCCGTCGACCAAGACCCCTACTTCTGGGTTAAGGGCGTCGACGCTGATTTCGCTGAGAGATATTTGGCCAAGACGAACGGCGCCCCAGGGGCTCAGGGGAAGGGTAGGGCAGCGGGCGGGGTATGTTCTGGTTGGATGAAGATGACGACCCGAAGTGTGGTCGATTTGTGTGCCGAAATGCTGGTGCGCGATCTGGCTAGTATCGCGCCTGGTGCGAGGGCCGCGGACGAGAGGCCTGTGTACAACGGCGAGCTGACCGGGTCGTCGCTGACGAGCAAGATGTCGAGCGGCAAGTGAGGCCATGGGGAAGGGGCTGTGAGGATTCTCGAAAGTGTGAGGTTTGGGGACAATAACTCTGAACCATGGGACGGACTTAGATGGCTCTTTATCATCTTCGAGATCTCCTGTGTGTAGAGAAGTCAGACTCAGAGGTCTGTCATGAGCTGCACAAGAATTTAACTACATGAAGAGACTAAACTACACAAATATGCATACAGAGCCCCGAATTCAGTTGAAGTTGGCCGTGTTGATGGAAAGGCTGTTGACCATAACCTCCATGACCCTTAGGTCCTCAAGCACCTAACCGCTACATGTAAGTCGGAGGGTATGGTAGTATGTCCACCATCTCAAACAGCCACGCAGTATTCACGCACATGCTGGTATTCGTGGCCTAGCCCAGCCTGGGTAATCACTCTTTCCAATTTTGGCCGCAGACCGAGTAGAAGGATTGCGATGCCATCATTTCAACGCGACCCAGAGCTTTCCGCCTAGTCGTTTAGACAAGCAACTGATGCAGCCCATCCGAATAGTGAGGTTTCATACTGTGACAGATTTCACATGGAACACGGTCAAGTCGTGTTGGAATATCTAAGGGACGACACCGACGCCGGCAGCGGATACACGGCTAAGTCTTGGGGCAGTCGTTCCAATCACCGGACGGCAGAATTGTAACGGTCGTGGCGAGCATCGGTGGATTGGTTAGGTTAGTAGATCTCCTGCTATAGATTCAACATTGCTAGTCGGGCGTTGACAAATAAGCCACATACTGGACCATCTCTGAATTCAGCGACATTTAAGCATGTATGGCCATGCTGCAGAAATCGGACGACGGCACATACCGAGATTCAGCGTCGGTCGAACTCCCCGGTGTGATCTGCCGGAACTACCGCTCAGTGGCAGTTCTTGATACCGCCACTGACGATCGGCTGAACCTTTCGTTGGCCGAGCACACTTAGACGTCTGACACCTGCCCCAATCCGGAATGAATCGTTCGAGCTACTCCTTTCGGACCGTCGTTCTTCGTATATCGCATTCGATACGAGCTCGCATAAAGAGTCCCAGATTCACCCAATCTTGTTTGACTGCCTTGTGTGATCCATACCGACAGCACCCTTCGCAACATTGTTTCTATGAGTATTCTAGGATGGAGACGCCTAGCGCTTCTACTATTTGCAAGAAGACCTCCCGTCGAAACCACACCAAATCCCGCAGTGGCTGCTCGGATTGCAAACGTCGCAGGGTAAAGGTATGCGTAGTCGAGTGGAGTTTGCGCGAGCATAGCTTGGCTTAACTGAAAACCTCATAGTGCGATGAAGCATGGCCTGCGTGTTCCCATTGCGCTCGACGCAAAGTTGCATGCAGTTTAACGTATGCCAAACCCCTCTCCCTAGAAGGTTCTCCGTCATCAGAGCTCAGCCACAGTCCCACACGTCGACATGTCCGATCGGTGTTTGAGGCTATTTTGATGGCCAACCGTCCATCAAAATCAGACTACGGCAATGCCGTCATGTCGCCGTACAACACACCCAAGTTCGACCTTTCACGTCTTTCTGATCCCAATTTTTCGTCACTTTCAAATAGTCGAGACCAGGAGTTGATGCATCATTTTTGCACCCTCACTGTACACTCAATGACCACTCGCCCGGGTGTGCTCCACATTTGGCAGACTGTAATCCCTCAGTCATGCTACGAAAATGACTTTGTTCTTCACGGCATCTTAGCGCTGTCTGCAGCACACAAAGCCTATCTCCTCTCAGGCAATCGACAACTATATCTCAATCTATCTGACTACCATTTCAATATTGGGTCAGAAACCTTCCGCTCCCAACTTTCAGACGAGGATGAGCGCAGAAGAAATCAGAAACCTCTATTTCTGTTCGGGGGCGTTGTCATCATACACATCCTGACATCAACATTGCGTACGCACAATTCAGAATCGGACGCCATCGAAAACCTAGTCAGGTTAGCACGAGCTATAAAAGGGTTTCGTGCCATCATATTCTCATGTCTCTCATGGAGTGCCATGACCGACCTGGCTGCGTTGGACTCTGGATCCCGACCTTTCACGTCGAAGGAACTCGGTGAGATGTACGAGATGAGCCTTCTCTCCATCGATCCATGCGCAACCGTTGACTAACCGTCAAATATCTAGGGATCTCTCAATACGGAACACAAACCTACCATGCGATATGCTCGAGGCTCTTGAGGATCTTCAAGCATTTCAACCTAAAGATGTTACTCCTGGGCCAGGAAATTCCTATGAGAAGGCTACATTGGGCCTTAAAAATATCGTCAAGACCCTGGCAGCCTGCGGCGTGTTCTCAGAGGCAGGCATTGTCCTTCGCTGGCTCTACTTTCTTGATGCAGACATTCTGGCAGATATCGAGACGCTCCAGCCTCCGGCCTTGTTGCTCGTCGCTTATTTCGCGGTGATTTTGTCATCCATGGAGAAGACGGTATGGTATCTCAACGGCTGGGGCGAAGCAATCATCAGACAGGTGGATCAGCTACTGGAAGAGGACTCGAAGGAGAGGAGCATGTTTGCATGGGCAAAACAGCAAATGCCACATAGAATATCTTAGTGGATTCAGGTGAATTTCAGCGTATTGACATTGAACCTTTCTGTTTTCCTTCGGCAATTCTGCCCAACTAAGCAAAACTCATATTTACAATAAGCATTTTCCCTTAAGTTAGCGCTGAGCTAACAATTTCAGTTCGTTCGGCACCAGCCAGGTGAGTCTGAGACCCTTGCGGGCTTAGTCGAGGCTTACCTTCGGGGCGAGGGGAAGTGAACGACCCCGAAGCCCGAAACAACATTTCTGCTATTCGGGCGGATAACACTAGCAATCCGGCCTGGTGATGATACTAGGACATCAGTAATAATAATTATTAAGACGGCAATGACGAAAATGACGATGCAGATGGCGACAATAATAATTAGAGGTTTCCTCTTCTGATATAGCTTACAGGTAGTATTCCGCAAGGTTAGCTGGGAGTATCCGCCCGGATAGCAAGACTCCAGAACAAAAGCTAATTAAGTTACCCGAATCTAAGTAGAGAGCAATTCAGAAACGGGAAAGGAAGTGGATAAAGCATAAAGAAAGGTGGTATTGCACTGTGTTTAATACTAGAGGCAATCGTCTAGGTTTATGTAGAAATAATTTCCGAGCAAGCTCCAGCTTTCGTATATGAACACCCTAAACTACTCTCAAGAGTACTTTCACATGATGCATCATCTCAATGAAAGAGACAATGTATTGCCTAAATCCAGGGGAAGCGTCGTAAAGTTTGTGGAAGTGATGGGTTGAATGATGAGAACTGACAATCGCCGAAAGGGAAAGTGCAAGGTCCATCGTGTTTGCCTGAACTACATACTCTGAGGCGAATCAACGGCGTCGTCTGTTTCCAATGGGAAGCTATGCCAAGCTCTCCCGACAAGATCTTTAGTAGGCGCCGCCCGCGGCCAGACCATCTCAACAATCCACAGGAAAATGCCTCCTACTTCTTCTATAGGATCCTTGTCATGTCGGTATATGTCCTTATCATCCTGGCCAGGAATCAGAAAGTATTCTGCCCGATTGTCCGAGTTGACAAAGCGCCAAGCAATCCATGGAAGACCGAGGAGCGAGCAATACTCTCCAAAAGCAGTCCCAGTGTCGTCTTTGTTACTCAACTTGATTTGGTCGTACCCCGTGACGTCAACTTGTAGAAGTTCGAGACAAACCGCAGCACTCCTCTGCTTGGCCGCTGTGATCACTTCGACGATTGAGCGCACCAATCGTGCATCAACTGCCGAGTTAATGACGGCGGTCTTCAGGGCGCCTGTTGAAAAGCCCGGGTCCTTATTTGCCGTCACTCGCCATATCTCCCTCTCGAACACGCCGTAGGCATAGTCTTCTACACCCATTGATTCCAGGGTCGCGCGACTAATCGGAGGTGGCCGAACGACAAGTGTGATGGACAGGTCTCGCAGGCGCTTGAGCTTGCCCAGAGCTCGGTACGACGCCACCTCTGACGCATTTCCCTTACGCCTGGGGATGCGCAAGGTAAGAAACTCCACGAGCGGACTTCGTGCGGCGATTTCCAGAATATCCTTCTCTTGAAAGACGCGAGAGTTGTACGTTGCCAAATCCAACGTCCGTAGACAAGGGCCTAGAACAGAATCCAGAGCGATTTCAGATCAGAACTGAGGCCGCCTATTTTGAGTGTCACCAAGTGTGAGGATACTCTACGCAGGGCGTCCGCGACGACGTCCCAATACGAGCGGCGGTCGACATGTGGTAACGCTATGTTCAAGTGCACCAGGGACGTGAGACTGCACTTTGCGAGCTCTTGAAGCGCTGGCACCTCCAACATCTTCAACTTGAGGACTCGTAAAACGGAAATGTCGGTAGGTTCCCTCCACACTTTGATCACTTCGTCTGACACGTAGAACCCTTGATCCATTTCGATGGATGTTAGAGACGCTAGCGATTGAGGAAGGTCGAGATGGCTGACAGCCTCCCAGGGCTCCGGAGGGAAAGACTGCGTGCTTTCGTCGGGTACGTCGGGTACGGGACGCAAGTGCACCCTTTTCAGATTAGGGGCCATTCTAGTCACATATCGCATCACAGCGGAGTTGTGTATGTTGTTTGGGTTTGGCTCTTCGTTGTTGTTAAATCGTCCGTAGTCTCCGTGGCTGTTTGCGTACGAGTATCTGATGCTGTGCAGGCATGGCGAGCTTGCCAGCCGTAGCTCATGGTCAGTCTCCTCAGCGTCCAGAACGGCCGCAAGGCCGTGGCGGTCTTTGATGCTATGCAAGTGAAAATTGCGCAGGTGAAGCCTGCAACTGGGATGGTGCTCGTGCAAAGCGGTGAGCAGGCATGGCGGGAACTGATTAGGGCATGCGTAGAGAAGGTCTTTCAGTCTTGGAAGCCTCTCGATGAGTTTCGCGAGGGGTTTCCAGAACTCGTTGGGTACTTTGGCCATCGTGTACTCATCCCAACCATAATCTACGCCGTTGTGGCCAGGGTCGTAAGATTCTTGAAGCCAGCCATCAATTCTAGTTTCGTCATTGACCCTTTCCGCGGGTGAGATTCGAGGCTTCCAACCGTCTCCCTTTGAGCGGGTAGAGCTAGCTGCCTTCGGGTGGACGAAACCGGGAGGCGGAACGACGCCCACCACCACGAGTCGACGAACGTGGGCAAAATTATTGTCCCGGTCCAGAGATTTGTAGCACTGCGTGACATCCTGTTCCAAGTACCCGGGGGGGTACTTGTCGAGGCCGGTGACCGCGAACTTGACGGTCCTCGCCAAGACGGCACTGGCCACGGAGCGGTATTTTTTGTTCGTCAAGGAGAAGTTGGCAAGACTCTTAATGAACCCGCTTTCGTAAACAAACTCGCATATTGTAAGGAGCTCTTCTGTGGCGAGCGAATCGAGTGACGCTTTTCGCGGCGGCATATTGTCACCTTCAATGAGAGGTTGCTGTTCTGTGGATGTGCTTCGTGGAGGTTCAGCTTCATATCACTGAATGGGTCAATCGTCGTGTTATGTTACATTCACGCGTTAAAGTGGGTGTTCCTTGTAGTGGCCACTGTTAACCGATGGTTTTCTAGGGTATACCTGCAATTAGCGTCACTCTTTGCTGCATCGAGACACTTAGAAGAATGAAAGATCATCGACGGAGCCACTTTATCTAGTCCGCGCTATGATGACGCAGATGCCCACTATTTTCAGGCCTGGATGCTGATTGAATATGCCACAGGGGATCATCAATCAACCTCTATTTTTCTCCTCAGAGTCTACTTAGCCAGAAATTTCCTTGAATGTTCCTTCAAAAACAAGTGTCGACATTTCCAAGTATCCCATCGACTGCTGAATGATACTGGTTTGAAGGGTCCATGTATCGCCACAATTTCTCCAAATGCCGTCTTGACGACTTTTCAACTAGCCTAAACCATCGATCAGTCACAACAACTAACGTCTACCTCAACTAAGGTACCTTAATAAGCCGTAAATCTATACACTGGTGTCATTCAATGGTCGATGGGATAATTCAGAAGTTACCCTGCGTATATGCACACACTGCATCAGTAGACGAGACGTCCCGGCCAAGTTTCTCCATTCGCGAACTCGCCTCGCAAGGGCTTGTTGTAGTTGAAATCTTTGAGGCCTAAGAAGATGTTGTTCGTCGATTTTAATAGTTTGAAATAAAATTAATCAGCATGTCTACGCTCAATAGTGGAGTGTGCAGGAAGACGGATAACGAGCTTGACTCCTCTCTCGGTTGGAATTTCTTTCTCAAAATGCGATGCATAGTTTCGCCAGCCACAAACGACCCAGGAAGAGTTGTTTCTCTCGAGAGCCGAACGATGAAACGCAGCCCACGTTCTACCGCGTGGGAATCCCGATGCTGTGGTCAAGAACGCCATTTGGTTGTTGTATGGTCGTTAATGGAAGCCAGCTGAAAATTTTAAGTCAACGCCTTTTCATGCCTCCCATAGCCCACGGCCGTATTAGGACCAGCCTGAATCAATGATGGCATTGAGAAACGTAGCCAAGCCGGCCATCGACTTCCCGAAGAGCCCAGCAACGTGATTATGGAATAAGAGTTCGGCAAGGAGCTCAATACCGAAGGTAGTCGTGATTGAGCTGGGCGCCACCGTGCTCGTGATGAGAACGACCGAGCATTCTGTCTCGGTGCCGCGGGCCACGGGGGCTTTCTCTGCGATGACGGTGACAGCCGATCACGTAGGCGAAGGAGCCAGCCCACTGCACCCCTTCGGTGAGCCGTTGGGCAGAGATTCTGCTGCGATGATGGGCAGAGATTGTTTGGGAAGTCGCGCAATTCTAGAGACAGAGCCTCCCTTCCAAACACGGAATCGAACATAGGGTGAATGACTCTGGCCTCGGGCCCACGACCAACCAGAGCACGCCGTCGAAAGATCTAAGACTGGGTTCAGGTGATAGGGCACGCGAAATCTGAGTTAGTGGAGAGCTGATGCGAAGACATATTTGTAGCAGGCGAATTCCTAGGAGAATTATCAGAGACGGGTCTAGACACAGAGATTAGACGGGGCAGCAGATGTTCCGTGGGATTATTGTTTCGAGATGTGTTCATAGTGATGCATAACCAGAGAACGTTAAGTTGTTTTCCCGCAGTAGTAATCCCATCGGCGTTGACGAGCTATTTGGATCTTCTTCAGCCAGCCATCAAATGACGGGATGCTACCCAAAAGGGAGGGAGGAAATGGTTCACCATACCCGCTTAACAACCTCAGCCTGGGCCCTTTGGGCTGCGGCCGTGAGTTGTGATCTTGGGATTGCCCTACTGCAGGCCGTGCAGCCATGCTCGTGTCGATTTGCGTGGCGATCGTGTGTGCTATGCACGTAAGCCGGCGGCCTGTCACTGTTGTCACCATCGTGTTTCTGCGATCTGACACAGACCAGAGCTTTTTTGGCGATGATAGACGGGGGAGAGGGTGAAGCGAAGGCTCAGCGCGACCCTCGCAACCTCGCTCCCGGGATGCTGTGCAGACCGCCCCGGATGAGACCGCCGAAGCCGTTCAGAGCTTAGCTCGAACCCAGGGACCCATAAGATGTCTTGCGCGGAGAGACGGAGATGACGGCGTCGATCCATCCCTCTTGTTATTCGAAATCAGATCAAGACAGTGCCATCTATGAGCTGAGTGTGATTGCTTGTGATGGACCTAGCAGGAGGGTCGGTCTGGAATTGAGCCGCCGTTTTTTTGTTGTCGAGATGCATGCTTCAACCCACAGACTTGGCTCATCCTCTGGAGTTGCCGAACATTCAGCTCTCGGCACGAGGATTTCGGAGCGTTTTCCTACAGAGTGCGAGATTTGAGGCTTAGATCAGGCTTTTAAGGGATGCACGCTGGAGAGAAAACGGAAGTTCAGCTCTCCCAAAGATTTAAGCATGAAGATTCATGGAATCTGCCAAGTCGACTACGAGCACGAATTGGCGATTGGGGGGTCGCATCTGCCGCAAACACATAAGGCTTAGCAAAATCGACTGGCACGTCATTTACCACCCGACCGGTTCTACGATTTGACATTTCAACTGCGTCTGTTGATTATCTGCCGTCAACATATGCCACAGGGAGGAGGCTCAAGCCACTGTTCCTCTCACCATTCTCTCGATATCTCAGCTATTTCGAGACGAGACTCACATAACGCCATCGAAAAGCCTGTGGCGCCCGTCTCCTCCGAAGACACCCACAATGCAGGGCTTCTGAAGACTTCACACATGTTCATCAAATGTGACTCGCACGTGCAGGGCGGGACTCTTCCTCCCGGATCGACATGGCGACCCACGGGCGACATGCTTTCTTTTTGGTGATTTCCCATATGCAACCTGCGTGCTTCCAGACCAGGTTTTCCTTTTTTGGCCAATACGCTGCATGGGATACGGCCACAAACCCGAGTCTCCACGGCTGAGAAGCTTCTCCCTTTCCCACACACACCTGTTTTTTCTCTCTCTCACTAATTCCTTCCCACGCATTGTCCCTGCCAAGATGGCTCCGCGGTGCTATGAGCCGATGACTGCATCTCAGACAACACCGTCAACGAGAACCCTTGCAGGCTGCAGCCAGAGAGACGGGTTCCTTGCAGCACTTTCAACCTGAAGCAGCGCCTAGCATACTAGTTGGCGTGGTTTAGGCGAGTGCCTTGGCTACCTCGCAGGTTCCCGCATGTTCCAAGGGCAACATTCCCCCCCCACTCTCGCAAGAGTATGCTTATCTGACTATGGGCCGCCTCCACTTCTCCCCTCCGATGCTCCGATGAGCCAGCCAGAGGCTGAACGAATGGGTTTCTGCGTAGCGGCGATGCCCATCCGCACGCAAGGTAAAGGCAGCACGCTGGAGCTAGTCAAGCCATATTCGCTAGCGTCCGCAAGCCTGATCTCGTAAGGCCTGGAGAGCCGGCTCGGGGACACAGGGATGCGATTTCTCATGTCTCGATGGGTCATAGAGAAAAGCAACTGTTCGTGGTGTTGAGTTCTTACCACTGCACTACCTCATGGCAATATGGGTGAAGCAATCGCGAGATGATTCCAAGGGAACTAGGAGTCTGAGACCCGGAAAGACGCCATATTGTTGGCGGACATGGTGGCCGATGTTCGCCCCCATCCCTTGGGAATGGAAGACGCCTTCCGGTCCTTGATTTGGGCGTTGCTTCTCGTGATGTCAACTGTATTTCGGCTGGTATATATCCTGGGGTTTTCTCGCGGGCTTTCCTCGACTGTTTTCCTCTCCATCCTCATCAGCGCAGTCATCTCCTGCATCTCCTTCTTTCGACAAGCTCCAGTCAACCCATTCCTTCGTTTCAACCCGAAGCTTCAAGGGCTCCAGTCTTTAGAGGACCTCCAGTTGCAGCAGCCATGAAGACAGCTACCGCCGCCGTGTTGGCCTCCCTTTTCGGGATGGGCGCTGCCCAGTGTGCCAGGGACAACTGTCTGCGAGGTATGTGTTCATCCCATCTCACCCATGCTTCCCACGCGTCCCATCCCGGGAGATCTCGTCTATAGGATCGCCAGCTAACACTCCACTATCTAGCCATCGCGGCCAGTGCTTTCCCGACCCGAAGCGGTACTGCGGACTGCTCTCGCTTCCTGCAGGTCACTGCCACTGCCAGTGCCGTGTAAGCTTTCATACCCCTGAGCCACATCACTCTTTCTCTGACACGATCTTCTCCAGGACCGCGACCGTGACCGTGACCGCCCCCACCTCCGGTGTCTTCACTTCAACCTTGACCGTGAGCGAGTCCGGTGCCGCCGGCTCCGTGGGCACCAGCACCGTCCTCGAGACCACGACCTCCACCGCCACCATCACCGATGTCATCGGAACCACAGAGGTCGTCACTGCTTCCACCGAGACCGTCATTGTTCCCACCACCGTCGTCGTTTCTTCCACCAGGACTCTCTTCTTCGGCACCACTGAGATCGTCACCGTTGCTACCGAGACGCAGACCGTCGATGCCACCATTGCCGTCATCAAGAAGCGCCAGGTCGCCACCAACTTCCCGACCTACGCTTCCGCCTGCAGTGGCTTCGCCCGCTACTCTTCGGCCTGCTCTTGCCTCGGTGTCACGGCGCCCACGAACACCGTGGCCCCGGCTACCGTGACCACGACCACGACCGTTCCGGCCACCGTCATCTCCACCGCCGTTGTCACCGTCACCGTCACCGGCGACGCTGCTCCCGGCTCCACCGTCCTGACCACCAGCACCGTCACCGAGACCGAGCTCGCGGCCACCACGGTCACCTCCGCCGAGACCACCTCCGTGACCGCTACGACTGAGATTGGCAGCACTTCCACGGACTTGATCGAGGAGACCACTTCGCTGACCAGCACCTTCATTTTCAACGCTACCTTCACCACCTTCATTACCCGCACCACTTCTCTGCCGCCTGTCGTGAACAGCACCACGACCACCGGCATCAGCTCTACTGCGGACATTAGCTCTTCCATCTTCTCCAACGTCTCTACTTCTTCCACTGAGATTAGCACGTCTACGGACATCATTTCCACCACCTCCACCGTCTTCCCTAATACCACTACTACTGAGTTCACTTCGATCTCGTCCACTCTCTTCCCCAACAGCACTACCGTCGAGTCTACCACCTCTACTGTTTTCCCCAACAGCACCGTCACGACCGACATCATCTCCTCTACGGACATTAGCTCTTCCACCTTCTTCCCTAACAGCACTACCATTACCACCGAGAGCCCCTCGTCCACTCTTTTCCCCAACGTCACTTCTACCACTGGCGTTTCTTCCTCTACCTTCTTCCCTAACGAGACCTCCACCGAGGTTTCCACTTCCACTATCTTCCCTAATGAGACTTCCACTGGAGTCCCTTCATCGACTCTCTTCCCCAACGTCACTTCCACTTCCACTGGCGTTCCCTCTTCCACCCTCTTCCCTAACGTGACCTCCACCGAAGTCTCCTCCTCTACTCTGTTCCCGAACAGCACCGCGACCGGAGTTCCCTCGTCGACTCTGTTCCCTAACAGCACTGCCATCGAGACTTCCACCGAGGTTCCCTCATCCACCTTCTTCCCCAACAGCACCATCACCTCTGCCACAGAGACGGCGACTTCCTTCCCCAACTCGACCGCCACGGATATCACCGCCTCCACTCTGTTCCCCAACAGCACCGTCGTCGAGTCCAGCACCGAGTTCCCCTCGTCCACTCTCTTCCCCAACAGCACTGCGACTGCCACGGACGCGCCCACCAGTTTCCCGAACAGCACCATCGCTACCTCTGACCTCAGCTCGACCAGCACCGGAGCTCCCAACGCTACCGTGACCGAGATCACCACCACTGAGGCTTCTTCCACTGAGATTGTGACCTCCACTGAGATCGCGACTACCACCGACGAGTCCAGCACCGAGGTTGTCACCTCCACGGATGTCAGCACCACCACCGCTTCCTCCACCAACGCCGACTCCGTTCCCTCCACCAGCGACGCTTCCAGTGCTTCCACCTCCCCCACCAGCGCCGCTTCCACCACCGTCCTCCCCACCACCACCACAAGCACCTCCTCCACCGCCTCCCCGACCGCCAGCGCCGTCTTCGCCCGCAACATCTGCCTGAAGGTCACCTCCCCCGGCCTTCTACAGAACGCTAAGCTCACCCTGGGCCCTAACCGCTTCAACCTCAAGAACGAAGCCGACGCCACCCCGGCCGCCCTGTTCGACATCAACCTCACCACCGGCCAGGTCTTCCAGAACAACGGCGAGACCGTCGCCCTCTCCGCCCCCTTCGAGGCCAACACCCGCCCGCTCAACGGCTTCACCCCCTCCCAGGTCCTGCGCATCAAGCTCGCGCCCCTCGTCTGCGAGACCTCCGGCTCCAGTCTGCCCGTCGGCGTGCCCCTCAACTGCACCGCCTCCGGCAACGACGGCCAGAACACCAACTCCTACACCCGCTTCTTCTACAACAGCAACGACTCCGAGGGCATCATCCGCATGGCCACCGCCAGCCGCGTCTTCAACCGCGTCAACACCGAGCTCCAGCTCGCCCCCTTCTCCGGAGCCGACTGCAACTAGACGAGAAGAAGCAGCTCAAGAGCGGAGTCGGTCTGACGCTGGCAACATGGACCCGACACCAAGCCGCAAAAGACAAAACATAAGCCGTTCGATTTTGCGAACATGTAACTTTACGCGCCAACTTGCTTTGGGCAATATCTTTGGGAGCCCTCTAATCTTGATACATACATCTGGGATCCCCTTTTTGCTTAATGGATAGCTTCTTTGTCTTTTTGTCTTAATCTTAGGTCACTCGCTTGCCAAATTCAAGTCACTCCTTCTTCTTCTTATAATCATCTGCTTTCGTGTCTTCCCGTGAATTGGTGACAATTAAATATGAGCGTTACTCGACATCAGGCTGAAACGGTCCATGGATGCTCATGCAGCAAGTTTACATGAATGGATAAAGACAATATCAATGATACAACTGACAGCCTTCCGTTGCTCATTCAGTATTTTCGATATGCTATTCACTCATATTTGGTCACATGACTCTCCTGGTGACTGCCATATCTGGAACCGCAACCAGCTAAATGGTTGACAGTTTTTTTACACTTTCATCAATCACTCAAGCGGAGTTCGCTTTTTATCAATCGTTCATGTTCTCCTAGTTTTAGTTTTTTTCCCCTTCTTTGTTTAGGTCAGCTTTGGTTTCTATGACCATGAATCATGATTGCCGGCTCTCTCGATGGTCCTAGCATGCTCCAGATTAATCAATGGTTTCTTCCTTTTCTGAAGGTCATGAGGCAGCTAGCTGCCTTCACTCATTGATGTTTTCCTCATTACCAGGCCTCCACGCTCCAAGAAGCCTTTAGTCTCACGTTACCCAGAGATCTTAAGAGAATGGAAACAACAGTAAGGTTTCAGAATCCAAGTGACATACACAACCCTACAAACTCACCTCCTCTCACCAAAACCCCATCGCCAGACGTCGACTGCTTACGTCATCCACCCAAAACAGCCCCCAACCCCCAAACAACACATCGCCCACCCCATCCGACGTGGCATCTTATCCATCTCCCATAAGTTTTACAATATCTCTCGTCCGTAAGACTCTCACTGTAACCTCAACTCACCTCACCTCAAAAAATTTTCATGCATTGCGTGGAGCGTGTCTGATGTCCCCTTCAGACCCCTGTCGTTGCAACTCCAAACCCAACCCACACACTAACTTACCCAAGAGGACCCGCCTCCACAGCACGAACCCAACACAGACGCGGGCCGCCCCGACGGTTCGACGTCTTGGTCTAGAACGCCCGATGTTCTTTGGACTCTTGCCCAGACGGATATTCGGCAGGAGCCAAGTTTTGGTGTCACATGGTCGGTGCCTGAACATCGCTTCGCTCCGAAAATAAGGGTATTCGTACCGAGGATCGGCGTTGGTGAAATGTCACTGGGATGCGGAACAATTGAAGCAAGCTCTCAGCTCATAGTCTGATTGTGAAAAGGTGCATTATTCACGGCCGAGGCGGGGAGCACATCGCAGCATTCACAGACGCGACAATCATTTTGAGTTTTAGATTTTTTTCGTCAATTTGAATATCTAGCAATTGCAAGAGAAGAGAGAATATGCCACGCTCAAAACAAAACCTGTTCCATATGTTTCCAGGTTGAATTACAATGAAAAGGAAAATCCGAACCCGTTCCTGTGCCAGTTGCCCTGCTCCTATCGGAGGAAGGCGCTGTATGATGTTCTTTTTTTGATCCCGTGCCGAAAATGCTCGCTAAAACCGATTCCCATCCAGCCTTTGTATGCAACAGTGGGAGAAATGAAGAAAACCGCAACAGACGCGTTAGATAGGTGGCCCTGTCTATACGTTGTGATCTCCATTGGAGGTGACTGTAGCCTCGCTACTTGTCTTCTTTTCCGACTTGGCACCGGCAGCGTTGCTCGCGACCTTTTCGAGGACAACCCTCTTACGGAACTCGAATACGGTGTCGTGCTTGTTGACGATGGCGCTATGGACGCGGTTCTCGGACCGCGTCATCCAGATGGGGTAGGGAGCCATGGAGGCGGGGAAGAGGGGCAGGTTGAGGCCGGACTCCATGAAGGCGTACGGGTCGCTCTTCTCGAATGAAGAGATAATGTCCAGCTCAGAGGCGACCTGTTCGCAGTACAGCTCGAGGGGCAAGTCATTGACGTCCTCGCCGAAGGGGTTCTCGATCTCACGGCCGATGAAGAGGATACCGAGGATAATATACGCGGCGGCGACGGTAGCAGGGATCGTGATCCACTCGAGCTTTCCGACGAGCTGGAAGGGCAGAAGCATGACGTAAACCCAGGTGATCTGGCTGATGGCGATGGTGTAGGCGATGGGCAGAGGGGTGGTCAGAACACGCTCGGTACCGGTCATGATGTCGTTGAGGAGGGAGACGTTGTTGTAGGCAATGGTCTGCTGCATGGGCACCTTAAGCTGACCGTCTTCGACCATCTTGTCTACGAGGCAAGAGATGTAGCTGAGAATCTCAAGAGGAAGGTTACCGAGGGGGCGGGAGGCCTTCTTGATCGTCTTGCGAGGGTTGCTGGCGGCGAAGGAAACGCCGAGGTACTCGCCCGTCTCCTTGAAGAAGTTCTTTTTCTTCTCCTGGACCTTTTCGGGCTCAGCGGCGGTGGCCTCCTGGGCGAAAGTGGACAGGTGCGCAACGAGGTGCTCAAGATCCTCGTAGCCGGTGTAAGGCTCGAAGCGCAGCTTGTGCTTGAGAGCAACGGAGAAGGCGAGGAGCAGGTTCATGCAGCCAATCTTGCGGAGCAGGGACTGTCTGCGGTCAACGTTCTCAGGATCGCCGCCGTGAATCCAGAAAACGCGACCAAGATTCTGGCAGGCGAGGATGAGTTGCGCCCAGTAGCGGCGGCCCTCGGCGTAACGTTCGTAGGCGGTAGAACTGCGGAAAGAGAGACCCATACCGACGACGAAACCCAGAACGGTCAGCAGGACGGAGTCGACAGCCATCGTGGTCTTGAGCATGTGGATGCAGGTAATGCAGGCGGACCACAGACACATCCAGAGTAGGGGGACGATCATCTTGGGCAGAATGCTGCCGTGCATCTGCATGAACAGGGGCCATTTTGAGTGCTTGAGGATGTCGCGAGGACCGGTGAAGTAGTCGTCGAGGTCGATGCTGGTGTTCTTGCGACTGAAAGGGTTCGGGGTCATGGGTCCAGTAGGCGACATGGCTTCGCGCATCTCGGCGGCATCGAAGGTGGGCATGTGCTTGATCTTCATCGACTCGGAGTTGTGACGCTGGTGGTTGGTGTCGGAAGCGGCATTGTGGCCACCACCGCCTCCGCCGCCGCCGCCTGCAGCAGGAGCGCCCATGCCGCCGCCGTCTTCGCCGCCCATTATGTATGGAGTATTTCCTGTGTCGGTAAACGATGTGTTGATTACTGGTACGTCGGTGGGCGAGGTTGGAAACTGGGACATGTCCGTTGGTGTAAGACACAAACGGGGAAAGCGGGATTAATAAGGGAAGGACCTCGATAATGGTGGTCCAGCCTGATCGACTATGGGAGGTCGATAACGAGGAAGGGATTAGCGGTCTCGAAAATGAGCGCGGGAGCTCTGGGCGGGAGTCGAGGGTATATGAAGCGCGTAGCCTGAAGGGGCTAAGGAAATTGAATGGGAGCCGTTGAAGGCTGAGGCAAGGAGGGGTGTTCCTGGCCCGGAAGGATGGGATGGGATGGTGGAATTACGGGATGGAGGATGGTGTGTGGGAGGACAGGCAGGGTCTCGACGATAAAGATGGTGTAGTGGTGTGGTGGAGGTTTGAGGCGTGCAGCAGTGAGTGAGCGGACGGCCGAGCTGAGACTGATGAGACGACGACAACTGAATTGAGTTTGAGCAGCGATAGTGATGTGATAGTAAGGAAACCTGACGGTGAGAGAAAGGGACCAGAAAATGGAAATAAGAAAACGGGAGAGGACGAGCTGGACTCGGAGAGGATGCGAAGAAGAAAAAGGCAGAGGATCACGGTTTTGGACGGGGACTGGGACTGAGACGGGGACAGAAAAAAAAGATACAAAATACATCACCGTCGCGTCCCGTCTTGCTGCTCGTTCCTTCGTACCTCCCTCCAACTTCCGTCGAAGCAGGACCCAAGAGCAGACACGTTGGACATTGGACAGGCGGAAGGTGCTTCTTGCCCGGTTCTTGCCCAGTTCTTGGCTCTTGCCTGCCCAGTGACTGCCCGTACCGCACCGCTCGCGACTCTTCTCCTGCAGGCCACAGCATGTACCCCTTGCCGCCTTTCCCCTTTGGGCGACACCTTCCCGCTGCTGGATCGTCAAACGGCGTGTGCTCACCATGTCTGAGCCAATGAGAAGCCTTTGTTTCCTCGTCTCGTCCGTCTCCAAAAAATGTCAGTTCTAGGGGGGGTAAGAGCGGCCAGCCCCGGGGAAGGAGCCATGCACCGCGACTGCCAGCCCAGGGCCCCAGGCACCGTGGAAAGACCAGAGAGAGCCGCTAGAAAGGGCAAGGGGCGGAGCTGAAACAGGGGCCATGCGACCCCACCTCAATTGGGCCCCTGCTCTTTCTCTCTCCCTTTTTTTTTTTTTTTTTTTGGTTTCTTTTTTTTTTCCTCTGATCATTTTTGGCTCTTACTGGCAACTGCAGCTGGCTGCCTGCTTCCTTCTCACAGCTTCACAGTGCTTGAAGGCAGGTGCTTCCCAAACAGGCCCTTCGTAGCAGCAGCAAAATGCAAGCCAAGGGGTCATTTCTGTCTGACCTCGCAGGCTTGGGTTCAGCACCTCACACAACTGGCCGCGTACACATCACACGTCCATTCACACATCACGCCTCGTTGCATTGCCCAAAGTCCCAACATTCGCCGCTGCCTTGAGCTGTCCCGGGATGCTCTCCAGTGGGAAGGATGCACATCAGAAAATTGAGCGCTGACTTGCAGCCCTTCCTCCACTCGCCAGCATGCTCACACGAGCCAGAAACAGGGCCACCGAACCACCATCGACACGTGGAGGCGCCCAAGTTGATCGCTTGATGCTTGGGTTTCTTTCTTGATTTCGACACCCTTGCCGGCCCTTCCAGATGCAAGCACACGGGGTCCGGCGACGAATGTGCTTCAGCAATGCCTCGCACAAAATAGCACCTCGCCCGATGATTGGAGCCAGCCTGCTAGCATTGACTGGGCCTCCGATTTTCCACTCTGGCCCTGATCGAGATTGATTCGTCCGTCGACTCATGTCTTGGCATCCGTCGTTGCAACTGTCGGCTCTCCCTCAGTCACCGTCACACAGTACAAACATGGCCACTACCGGTTACAACACGCCACAACTTCAAGGGAAACGGCTCTCTTTCAGCGACACCGCAGCCCGTGTGTCCCCTGAATGCTCGACACCACGGTTCAGGTCCAGCTCCAGGTCCAGGTCCAGGTCTAGGTCTAGGTCTAGGTCTAGCACCTGGACACTGTGATCCCTGAAGACTGAGCGGACCCCGACCCCGACGACGCCGACGCCGTCTCTTCTCCCCGTCTGTGAGTCTTCACGTTGCCTTCTCCCCGATGGCCAGCCCGTTCCACGGACAGGGCCCTCGATCGTATTCCACAGCGAACCAGACTGACTGAAGATCTTGCTTCTTCCAGGGCTTCGCACCCGCAAAAAAATGCTACAATGTTCGCAGAAAGGGGCCGCAGTTGAGCGAGGCGACATTGCACTCATTTCGCCCAGACTTGCACAGTCATCACCGACCGGGTCTTGGCCTCGTCCCTGTAATAATCTGATCTCTGCAGCTGGCATCCAATGTCTGACGCTGACGCGCGGGAAGACAACAGCCACCAACAGCAACACTTTGAGACGGAGGACGCAGGTGGCAGCCAGCAATGCGCCTCTTAGGGGTTAGCTTTATGCGGCTGCTAGCCGCGGCGCATCACAGCGCCGGCAATTCTTAAAGTTGGAGAGACTGCAAAACTGCAAAAAACAAACTGCTAGTCGACGCCGACGGCACTGCATCGCCTCGTGGAGTCGATACGCGGCATCGGGACCGCGGTTTGCCTGGGTACGGTTTCATTCGGACAGTCCAGAGTGGCAGAAAGCAATGGCATGGATCGGCCTGTTCGTCTGTACGTTTTGCTTTCCCACATACCGCCCGCGTGCGTTCTTGTTGACGTCTTCCTCAAGCTTGGGTCTCATGATACCGATGACGCGCCTTCGCGGATGTTTCTCCTTGATTCATGGTGGTGCCAAGAATCCACTTCCCCTGCATTTCAGCACCAATTTTGTCCGTCTGAACTCTCGTCGCCTCACGGCGTGACAGCACCCAAGACACAGCGATATTACAAGTACACCGACGATATAGTGTACATTTCACAAAACACGGTGAAGGAGATACTTCGCCTATCAGTCTCTGCGAGAAAAAAAGAACTCATCGCTACTGTCAAGCGAAATATCCCCCAGGCTGACTCGCGACTCGATCTCATTCAATAACCAAGAAAACGATAAATTGATCTTCCCCGAAATCGACATTCATTCCCGCGTCTTTTCACCGGCCGGATCCCCTGGTGGTGGCGAAGCTTCCAAGTCCCTCTTGGCGAAATGGAATCGGCTCCGCTTCGTGGTGGAGACGTCTTGATGGAAGGCGTGGAAGTGTTCCAAATTGGGTCATGGCAGTTCCGTCAAGTGGACCCTTCCCCGACCATTGGCTCACCACTTTTTGCCCACAGTTTCGAACGGTGCACGCCGTGTGTTTGGTTCGATCTTCGCTTGCCCTTGAAGCTCTGGAGACTGGAGCTCCCTTGTTTTTTTTTCACTGCTTCAGGAAGACTCGGTGCCTCAGCCCCAAAGTCCGAAAAAGCTTGAACGTTTTCAATGGGGCCACCGTTTGCTCAGACGCGATCGAAAGAGCACTGGCTTTATTGGGAGCTTCCCAGACCGCCCCAGATGTTGCGTGAGAGGCTTCCACCGTCGCTTCCGTTCTCCTGGGTTCCACAACTCCCCCGTCGGTCTGGCCAGCTGGACGTTGTCCAACCACCGTACTGGCTCTTCAATGCTGTGCTGTGACTTGAGCACCGCACTCGACAGCGAACAATAGTCGCCAAAAGCAGTTTGTCGTATACGCACGCGAGAAATATAACATGCGTTTACAACCTACACATGCCGTCGGCGGCGAGCCACCCCTTCCATACTAGCGCTGACGTCCAATAGGCGTCTGCCTACAGCCTGCAGCACAGCAGGCCATTAGGCGCTCATCCGTGCATTCGCCGCCCAAGCTCTCCACGCCGTCGTCCACTAAAGGATCAGCCCAGCCGGCAACTTCAAGCCGTCTGATGGTGCTGCTTTGTTCCAAAAAACACAGATGGTTGGTTCTAGGCTCTCAACCTCCGCTGCTGGGGCTCATCAGCCTCAATTGTGGCCAGTGGTCGGTTACTTGTCGGTTTTTTTTTTTTTTTTTTTTTTTTTTCCCCTCCCGACGCCGACGCTACGCCATACGAACGGTGAAAGAGCTCTCGGTATGTGGGAAGGTGCCGCAGCACACTATGAAAGGCTGTTGAGTTTGCTCACTAAAGAGCTCAGCCTCTTTTCCCCGTTAGATGCCGTGAAAGAAACACAACACGGCGACGTCATGCTAATAGACTATGAGCCATCCGACAAGATTGCCAATTTCGAGGGTCAACGTCCGCGGTTTCCCTCCGGCAGAGAGAAGTTCTTCCCCGGTCGGTGACGGGAGGCCGTCTGCTGGACCCACCCGTCGGAGCGCGCGCCGCCCGGTTGATTGTGCCGAGGTCTGCTCATGGTTGGCTGTCTGTTTGTCGTCCACGGTGGGTGGCCTCCATGAAGCCGCTGAACGTTCCAGCTTCAATGCGAGTATACTTCCGTGGGTGACTTGGGGCTGGAAGCTCACTCATAGACCACGAGAAGGACCGACGCCCTTACTTGCCCCATGAGAAATCTCTGAACGGCCCAGAGAACTCTGCCAACATGGTCTTCGGAACACGCCGTCATGTTGGCGAAGCTATCCGTATTAGTTCAACAGGAATGGGAGGCCGGTCTATCACGGTGCTGCGAGTGACTGAGACGAGACGACTGATTCCGTCGCGGCGACATCAATCGTAATCCCAAGTAGGGCGCTATGTATGTTGTGAAACACTCACTGAGCAGTCATCGTACGCACGAGAGGGTCGCGCTTCCTTCTTTCTGTCAACGCGATGACAACCAAGGACAGGAAGTGAGCAGAGGCCATGACTTTGACACATGAATCGTGTTCACCATCATGTCTATCTAACACGGCTGATGCCAAACTGATAACAACGACATTTGCATAGCAATGCCTGACGGTAAAAGCCTGCTTTATCGAAACTGGTAGCACTCATAACTTCGACTCAAGACGAAACAGTCATTTCACTCTAATCTCCGCTCCTGAAATATTTAGTAGTAATACAAGATATAAAAATCAACATCACCGACTCTCCGACAGAGACTGCCGACTTTTCGGCGGCGGACTAAGCGGCGTCGGGCACTCCAAGTCAACCTCTTCCTCACTGACCCCAAAATAATACACATCATCATCCGAGTCCCTTTCCGTCAGCGCAACACTCATATGCCTCCCCAGACTCAGATTCCTTCCCAACCCCCTGCCGAACCCGCCCAGGCTCCCGTCGCTTACAATGCTACTCCGCACACTCCTCGTCCGCCGTGGCATGCCGCCACTACTAACCGTTGCCTCGCTCGGCCGCCGCATCCCATTAATCTCCAGCACCGGCATCTCCACCCTGGCCGGCGACGACGGGTCTGTCGTGACGAGCGTCACGGGTATCGTCGGCGTGCGCATCACCGTCGCGAGCACGGGCACCGGCTCGATCTCGTCCACGTCGCCGTTAAGGGTCGAGTTGTCGCTTTGTTTGCGGCTGCGGTGCCAGAAGCTGGAGCGCGGTTTGCGGATGACGACGACGTCGGATTCGCCGCTGATGGAGGAGGAGCCGCGGTCGGCGGTGTTGGCGGTGCTGATGCGCGGGACGCCGGCGCCAGAAGGGGGCGGGAAGGGGTTCATGAAGGACTCGCGGGGGCCGGTGGTGTTGGCGGAGTAGTGCGACGGGCGGGAGAGGGGCCGTAGGGTGGGGATGCAGCAGCAGATTATCGCGACGGAGAGCTCGGCGATGGACCAGACTATTGTAGGAGTTTGGTTGTATGTCTGGTCCATGGAAAGGTAGGATTTGGGGATGGTCGCGATTCGGATGATGGAGATGGCGCAGGTGCTTTTGGGGTTGATGCGTCAGTCCCCTCCTACTTTCATACATGGCAGAATGAGGGGGGGTTCTCACAGGAGGCCGAGCGCGAAGCTGGCAATAAGGGCGAGCTTCTGGGTCCTCGTCATTTGCAGACGACCCAGAAAGGGGATCGGGATGATGAAGATCAGGACATTGGTGATGAGGTGTATCGAGGCGTTGGCCATCCACCAGCTCATGACGTTGATCGGCGTGTCGAAGAAGGTGTATTTGTAGATGAGGTCGAAGCTGACGCCGGCGCAGACCAGGAGCTGGATCCCGAAGAGGGCGAGGAAGCAGATGCCGATGTTGCACAGGAGCTCGACTTTTGAGTACGGGAAGACGCGGCGGTATTGGAAGAGGAAGGCGATTTTGATGGTGACGAAGGCGACCTGGTACACGATGATGACGAAGAGGGATATCTGACTAGGGTTAGATGCTTTCTTGGAGATATTGCTGGACGGGTTTTGTTTGAGGTAAGTACCTTTTGGCCTTTGATCAGGTTGTTGATGGAGTTCATCCATACGTGCTTCCCGAGTCCGAATCTTGTCGCTGATGTTGCGGTATTAGTCGAAATGCCCACGGCAAACGGGAGATTGGTAATAGTCTCTTACCTACGCACAACATGGAGTTGTGCAAAACCACGGCAATCTACGCATTCCACTCGGACGTTAAAAAACCTTCTTCTCCCCATCTTCCAAACCTCATCTCACTTACAAAAGCAGACGCGAGCAGGGTATCGTCCGCCCCCCATTTCCTAATCATGAACGCCCGCACATACACCCGCAACGCGACGAACACAGCCGCAACGACGGTCATGACGATCCCGATCGCGAGGATCACGTCGGCGCGGCTGTCAAGCGAGCCGGGCGGCAGCGTGCCCTCCCACGGTGCCGCTGACGAGGCGTCGTCGGTGCTGTTCGCCTCCATGTCCTTCACCGGCCCCGTGCCGTTCCAGATCAACATTGGCGGCGGCGGCGGCGGCGTGTGAAGTGTCTACCTCCGACGTGCGCAAGGCATTGGGGAGTGGTGGTTCCCGTCGTTCGAGTGACGGGACTCTCCAAGTCGGTTCGCTTTTCCCGCCTTCGTTTTCCTGCGTGGTTTTGTGTTGGCGAGGTTGTGGCCTCGTAGCCGTCGAAGAAAACAATATCAACACACCCGGCAATGAGAAACAGATTGGAAGGGGGGGAAGGAGGAAGAGAAGGGAGAAGGATCCCTTGGCCAGCAGCAAGGAAGGGGGCACGCTCAAAGGGTAATATCAGACCGCAAAGGCAAAGGCAAGGCGTTGGATAGAGTTGGCGCTACAAATGAGCGTCCTGGGTCGCACCGCACGCGTTCGGTAGATGTCTCGCCCGGAGTTGTGCGTCGTGTCTTCCGGATCCGGCGATTTGGTTCAGGACCACCCACCCGCAAATGGGCCGCCGATTCGCCCACCCAATAACACAAGAAGCGAGGGAAGCAAAGCAATCGCCGGCACCCCGTTTTGTAGAACCAAACCCCGAGACAAATCCCTTGGAGGGCGTTCCGCTTCCAACCTAGGCAAGTCGTCAAATTCGGTCTTGGCATTTTGTCTACGCTTTCGCGAGGGACGGAAGACCGGCTGCCCCCTGCCCCACTGCTATCGCCGCATCACAGCGTGTCGTCTCACTTCATTCCCGCAGGCGTTTGGTTTCGACAGAGACAGGCTCTCGAAAAAAGCTTATCATCAGGACATCAGTCGTTCTAGGCTGGGCACACACGCAGAGAAGGACCCCCCAGGAATTCTGGCGTGGAGAACTCCTTTTTTCGAGCTCGGTCGGACGAAGAGGTTGTCAACACCTGACTCGACCGAGAAAGAGGAGTCTAATGGCGGGATCTACTCTTAACATGTCAAGATCCAAATGTGATCGATCTGTCAAACAAGCCACATGACGCAGATGGGGCCGGGGGGATCGCCCGCGCTATTGGGACGATGCTTCTGCGTGTGGCGGCGTGGCGCTTTGCGAGGGATTTGGGGACTGGACTTTGGGCGGCCAGCTGCTCGGGTCGCGAGAGGTTCGCGGATGTGGTTTGCATTACAATAAAACGCAGCAATTGCTCGATTTGGAGATTCCCGGCGGATGGCTGCGGATCCCGACATCTCGGGCCGGGATGGCCAGCATGGACTATATATAGTGATGCTCAAGATCGTCGTTTTCCTTTTTGCTCTTCACTGAGATTATGAGTTGTTCTCGGAAGCAGATTGGAATCCGGGCCGGGACCTCCAAGATTACTGCACATAGTTCTTGTCCATGAGAAAATCAGAGATTAAGCCGAACTCCTTATCTGTATAAATCTGCTCTCTTCACACGAAGTCTAATGAGTGACCAGCCTTTCTGGGAGGGAGGTAAATAGGAATGAGGCTTGAACTATTCAGTCAACCCGCAATCCTGCCTTCTTCACCAGGGGCGACACCTTCGTGCCCTCGGCAATGCTCCTAGCGTACGCCCATGCCTCTTCGGGCGTATCTCGAGATACAATGATGGGGTTGATGATGATCTTGACCTCGCGTCCTTTAGACTTGACAACCTCCCTTATCGTGGCAATATGAGCCGGCAGCGTCTCCAATGCGCTCTCAATATTCGCTGTCCCAGGCGACGTGATGAAGATCAGGTCAGAATACTGCGCCGCAAACTCAATCCCGGCAGGAGACCCCGTGGCGTTGATCAGAATCGGCCTGCCAAACTCCGTCTTGGGCGTGATCCACGCATTCTCCAGCTGCCACGGCGACACCCTGCCCTGGTACGACAAGTTCTCCGTCTCGCCCCACAGACTGTTCACGACGTCAAACAGCTCCCCGGCCATCTGGTAGCGCTTGTCGTGCTCGATGCGCTGGCGCCCAAACATCTCGTGCTCGACCGCGCGGTGGCCCGTCACGACGTTGATGCCCCAGCGGCCCTTGGCGACGTGGTCCAGCGTGGCGCCGTACTTTGCAATGTGCAGCGGGTGCAGCGGGCCGTAGAGCACGTGCATCGTGGAGATGAGCAGGATGGAGCGCGTGACGGCGGCCATGGCGCCGAGGGCGACGAAGGCGTCGAGCGAGGCCTCGCCGTCGTAGCCGCCCTTGGGCAGCCACTGCGTGCGGCTGAAGGCGAGCTCGAAGCCGAGGGCTTCGGCCTTGCGGACCAGGTCGAGGTTGTAGTCGAAGGTCCAGGTGTTGCTGGTTGGGTGGGTTGAGATCTTGATGTCTTGGAGGTTGAGGAAGAGACCGAGGAGGAGGGGCTGGCGGGATGCTTTGGAGAGGGGGGAGGAGGGGAAGTCGAAGGGGCCTTTGAGGGTTGGGCCGCCCTCGCGGACTGATGTTGCGGACATTCTGAGGGGTGTACTAATGTGATGCTTTCGGAAAGTGACTGGTTCTCATGTACTTTGATACAAAGCACGTTCCTACATCGTAAGTTGGGGTGTGAACGATAATACCTATGTTCAGTAAGTCGTGCTAGTTATGTAAGTTGGTGATCACGCATGAGTGAGGAGAGATGTCGAAATCGCAACCTGCATGTAATCGTCCGATCAGCACAGCTTATCGCCGCCGTCGGCTAACTTCGAGCACGCCATCGGTATTCCGACCCGGAGATTTTGGGTGCCCTCTGCTTCATTCTCTCCGAGTCGGCACATGTAGGAAGTCATCATGAGCTGGGGGAAAAGACTCTAATTGTATTGTAAAGTGGCGCTTGTCTAGACACTCAAGTCAGGGAAGCCGGTGGGCTCATAAACACATGAAGAGCTATTCTAAACACCCTCCCAGAAGAAGGTCTTTGGCAGATGGAAACTGGCTCGTTGAATCTCGTCCTTCGGATTTGAGCTGGACGCAACAATTACCACATACTCTCCAGCCTCTGCCAGCCACTTCGACCGCTCTTGCGACCAGTATGAAAGCGAATACTTGTCAAGGACAAGTTCGACAGTCTTTGTCTCGTTCGCAGCCAGATGCACTTTCGTGAAAGCCTTCAGTTCCCGAACGGGACGCTGGAGGGTGCTCTCGGGATCGTGGATGTAGATCTGGACCACCTCGTCACCGTCGTAAGGGCCTTTGTTCGTGACATCCACAGAGATCGTCATCTTGTGTCCCGCTGACGCCTCAAACGTGCTAGGGACCTGAAGCTTAGAGTATTCAAACTTCGAGTACGAGAGGCCATGTCCGAAATAAAAGAGCGGATCGCGGTCGACGACTTCGTAGTACCGGTGGCCGATGAAGACGCCCTCGCCGTAAACGATGTCGTAGTCCGTCTTTGAGAAGTTGAGGTAGGCGGGCGCGTGTTTTACGGACTTCGGGAACGTTTGCGAGAGTCTGCCGGACGGGTTCTCCTTGCCGAAAAGGATGTCTGCGAGCCCGTGGCCGGTTTCCTGTCCACCGAACCACGCGTGGACCAGTGTAGAAGCTTGTGACTCCCATGGCATCTCGATAGGGCAGCCAGATTGCGTGACGATGATCTGAAGTTTGGTTACTCATGTGGTCTGAATGGCATCGGGAGATTTACTCACTGCATTAGTGTTAGCTGCAAGAACGGCCTGGATTAAGTCGTCCACACGGCCAGGCAACCTCAGGTGCTTACGATCAGCACCCTCATACTCAAAGTCGGACGAGAGACCCGTGACGACGATCGGAACATCAACGCTCTCCGCCAGGTCGGCTGCCTCTTTGATGGCAAGGTCCTCGTCGATGATTTCAAAGCCACCCACGCGACCGGCGAGGGTGAGAGCTGTACCGACACCACCAGCCAAGTCCTCGTTCACCTGTATGACCTCGATGTTGATGGATTTACCCTCAGTAAGCGTTGTGTCACAGAACTTCTCCATCGAAAGCCTGTTGAAAAATGGCGTGGGACCAGTTTTGGGTGGCTGTTCCGTCCACAGATCAATGACTTCCTTGCCGTCAAGCCTCACCTTGCCCTTTCCTGATGTGCTGAAGCCAAAGCGGAAGGGGCCGGCGATTTCTGGCGTGTACACGGCGCGGGCCCTGGCGTAGAACTTCTTTGGCAAAGTTGCATGAAAGCTCTCGGGAACGTCAATTAGCTCTTTCTCTGCGGTTGCTGAGAGCAGAACCTCGGCATTGGGGTTCTCATCTGGGTTCTCTCCAAAGACCTCGACTGACCACCCGAAGCCCTCAGCATTCAGGGGTTTGAGGTTTTTCAGAAGGGGGCTGAATCTGAAGGCTAAGGAGGGGTCAGTGGGCAGTCTTTATGCGAAATCGCCAGGTCATGACTTACAATGGCAACCAAGAGCGTACGCAACGTTCTCTTTCCCTGCCTCCTCTATGATGGCGTCGTAGGGCGTGACGGAATAATAAGGCTCGACCTCAGCGCTCCCACCTCCGCTCAAGGCGGGGTTCTTGACGTGATCTCCGATGAGCGCAATCGTTTTCTTTTCTGAGCCTTTGATAGGTAGCACCCCTCGATCGTTCTTCAAAAGCACAATGCTCTCGGAAACCAACTTCCGGATCAAGGCCTGCTGCTCCGGCGTATTTGAAGCAAAGAAGTAGCCTTCAGGTTTCGTATCCATGACCTTGTTGGTGAGATTTAGTACGTTTCTAACGCACTCGTCGAGCGTCGTACGCATCACCTTACGACTGTTGACAGCCAAACTGAGACACTTCCCTCTCCACTGCGTGGGCCCGGGCATCTCCAGATCAAGGCCCGCGTTAATTGCTTCCGAGGTGCTGTAAGTTCCGAACCAGTCACTCATCACCAGGCCCTTGAAGCCCCATTCATCCCTCAAAATCTGCTTCATGAGTAAGGGGTCTTCACTGACATGGATCCCGTTGATTTTGTTGTAGGAGGTCATAAATGTCCAAGGGTCCGAGTCTCGCATGACCAGCTGGAAAGGCATCATGTGGACCTCTCGTAGTGTGCGCTGCGTCATGCAGACGTTGTCCTCAATGGAGTTGTCGGATTGATCGTGGGCAGCGTAGTGCTTCACGCTAGTCGCGACTCCGCGTTCCTGGACGCCATTGATATACGCTGCTCCCAGAATGCCGCTCAAATAAGGGTCTTCCGCGAAGGCTTCGAAGCCACGGCCAAACAGGGGGGATCTTTGGAGACAGATTGTGGGTGCCAGAAGAACGTGGACACCTCGAGCCCTGGCTTCTTCCCCCAAGAGGTTTCCGACTTTGTGAAGCAGCTCTTTGTTGAAGGTGGCTCCCATGCCGGTTGCGGAGGGCAACATGGGACTCGGGTTCTGGAGTCACTTAGCCCAGTTCGAATATTGTGTGTAGCCCACAATCTGTACGCTTCACTTGTAATCACTTTGCTTCGGAGTACTCACCCGATGGAAAGCTCGACGACCGCGAATTCCATGAGGACCGTCCGATGTCTGGATTATGGTAAGACAGTTAATCCCCCGCTCTAGATGATGCCGCAACTCACTATCAAGGCTGGAATTCCGCGATGAGGGAGACCCGTTGTCCTGAATGACCCTTGGCCGGCAAGCAAGTCAATCTTTTCCTCCAGTGTGAGTTGGCTTATCAAGCCTTCCACATCAAGTGGATTGTGGTCGATGGCCATGGCGAATTCGGGGTGCACAAGTACCGGGTAACGCGGGTTTGAACTTGGACTGGTACTGAGAGGTACTCTGATGAATTCGATCGGATCTAACGAAGTTGAAGTACAAGTCCAGCGTCCTAGCCGACTTCTTGAATCAGAGAGTTTCTTTCAATGGATCACAGGATCTAAGAATCTGAATCTCATCTGACGCCTCCGGTACCATGGTACTCTCCTGATCCGGAGTTGCGTCGGAAAATGAGACGGAATTGCGGGAGTCGGGGGTCATGCGTCAGCAAAAAGGCGCCGCAGTTTGCTCCAAGACAGTGCCTCTCGGGTATTTAGGCTAAACTCGCAACCTCCGGAACCCTGTCGGAGCACTGTCGGAGCCCACGGGGCTCCACAAATACGCCGGCCGAAGTGTACCCGGGCGCCGTGACTGGCTCAACACGGCGAATGCCAATGCCGCTGACTCCATTGGAGTAAACCCCCTGTCAGCGGACTCTCCGCCAACATTGGGGTTTGCACGGAAATATGAAGTCCCGTCTGGATGTATGCCAAGAAAGCTTTGAGATGGGGTAAACTTCGGCGATAGAATGAAAGGTTGTAAACACCGAGACTCTAATACGTCGCTGACGCCCTTCGACGATCTCATACCGTGACAGATAATGCCATGAAGGTTCGCCATAGACGTTGCTAAAGTCCCGGACTAAATCGAGCTCTGTCTGCAATTGAGATAGGTCTGCGCCATCGCTATTGGCCCTACCAGATTAATCTCGATGTCAATCTCGGTTGGCTTCTATCGACCTGATGGCTGCCGAAAGAGTCACATTCCATCGGAGCCAGGCTTGATTTAATCATTCCGCATTAGGGATCATCGGCAAGGGGAAAACTGATGTCAAGCCGGTAGAAGTTCACTCGTAGGGTTGATAGCTTTCCGCTTTTGGCCAGGATGCCGGATTTTGGCTATTGAATGCCAGACCAAACAGCCGGCTCAATATGTACTCCCGAGGCACCTCAAAATAATATGTCAGGAGCATTTTTCAACGTTTTTGTAACCATATAATTCTCACATTTAGATCATTTAGTCCGTCAATATTTGGCGAGACAGCTATCGTATGCTGTAAATATTCTACTAACTAAAGGTTTCCGGGGTCCATCACTTTTATCAAAGCTGACAAGATCACCAGGAGATTTGTTAGATGCGACGTAGTCATCTTTGTGCTTACCTATGCTTGCCATTACTTTTGAGCTATCGAGATATATATCAGGCTACTGTGCTAATTCCAAGAGGGTGGTTTACGCACTGTACACGTCAGCTGAAAGATGACATATTCCGTTCAACAGCTCTGTCTTGTTTGCTCTAGTTTCTGCTTACTGCATAGAATGCCTCAAAGCCCCCTGATTTCAAGCTTTCACGATGGCGCGCTGGAGAGTAACTGGCATTAATTTCGACCACATGCACATGGGCGATCTTTTGCGAAACGCATTTGACCATCCCGATGTCGACATCGTGGGCGTTTGCGATCGCCAGGCGGATCGGACGAAGACCGCGGTCGCGGCTTTTGGTATCGCGCCGGAGCTAGTTTTTACTGACGTGGGGGAGTGCATTCGCCAGACCAAGCCCGACCTCGTCGTCCTCTGCCCAGCGACTGCGGATCACGCCGTTGCCTACGAGGAGTGCTCCAGCTTCGGGGTGGATGTCTTGATGGAGAAGCCGTTCGCGGCTAACCTCCGAGACGCGAGGCGGATGCTGGAGGCCAGAGATGGTGCCGGAACGCGACTTGCGATCAACTGGCCTTCAAGATGGTTCCCGGCCCACGTCACGACGAAACG